TACACATGATAAAAATTAAATGATAAAAAAAAGATAAAAAGAGATCAAAATAAATAAAAAACTTTCACTAAAAGCAATATATATATATATATATATATATAAAATAAGACTAAAAAAAATCATTATGCATAAGGCGAGAACAAAAATAAAATAATATAGAATTTTAATAACCAAAATAAAAAAATAAAATAAGAATCAAAACAGAAAATATTTTTTACTAAAAAAAAACTTAGAATAGTGAAACCGTATTTAATTTTAATTTAGAATGAATAATAATCAAATATAATAAAAATTTAATGATAAAAAAAAATAAAAGATCACAAAACAAAAACCAAAATATAACAAAATTTTTTACTAAAAGTAAAAAATAGTTTCTTATTGGGAAAAAAATCAAATATAATAAAAATAAAAAATAATTACAAAACATGGACTAAGAAAACAAAATATTCTACTAAATTTAATGGCAAAAACAAAGAAAAAAAAATCATAAAATAGGAATTATAATAGAAAGAAAAGTTTCACTAAAAGCCAAAAAAAAAAAAAAAAGAAGCATAGGATAGTAAACTTTATTTAGTTTTAGTATAATAAGGATAAAAAATCAAACATGATAAAACTTAATGATCAGAATAAAAACATATCATAAAATAAGAATAAAAAAAAGAACCAAAATTTTACTAAAATAAAAAAATTTATTATTGGGATAAAAATCAAATATAATAAAATTTTAATATTTATTATAGTGACAAAAATTAAATAAAAAAATTTTAATGATTAAAATAAAAAAAGAATAGAAAAAAGGGACCAAAATAAAAGGCAATTCCCTTATAAGCTTGGAAGCCGACAATTGAAACCAAGAAAAAAAAAAAAAAGAAAAGAAAAGAAGAAGGTGTAAAAGCTTAGAAGCCGACAACCGAAAAAAAAAGAAAAAAAAAGTGAACAAGTGAATGAACAAGTGGAATGCTACGGTAGTTTTTCGTTTTCTTTTAGTTTACTAGAAATTAGTTTGGGATTCATATAACTTAAATTAATAATAAAAGTTCTAAATTGCTCTAATCTAATAGTTTAGAAGTAACTAGCATATATCTCGCGTGTTGCTACTAGGTGAGTTATACAATATTCTCATGTGTTTATTCATATAAATTATAAAATTTTAAAATAAATATTTAAAAGGATCATGCAAAAAAAATTTAAAAAAAGAACCAAAACATATATTTTATATTTTACTTGCGGGGTTAACTAAACGAAAAGTCTACAAAGTTGAGTAATATAATGTTGCTAATTAGATATTGTTTGAAATAAACATGTATTTTATTAGAAATATATATAATAACCGATAATTAAAATAATGATGTGATGGTTTTTTAAATTTTAGATGATTAATTTTTATCATATATTTTTCAATCATAATTTGTTAATGAGATAGACAAACCACTTAAAACAAAAAGATAAAAAAAAACTTTATCAAATCGAGAATTTGACAAAAAAAAAAAGAAGAAGATAAAATTACACATGATTAAAATGAAGTGATCAAAACAAAGTAAAGATCATAAAATAAAGATCAAAATAAATAAAAAAACATTCGGTAAAAGCACAAAAAAAAAAAAAAACAATACGACTAAAAAAAAAATCATGATGCATAAAGTAGGAACAAAAGTAAAACATGATAGAATTTTAATGAAAAAATAAAAAACAAGAACCAAAACATAAATTTTATTTTTTTACTAAAAGAAAAAAAAACATAGAATAGTGAAACTCGTATTTAATTTTAGTGTAGAAAAAAATAATCAAATATAATAAAATTTTAATGATCAAAATAAAAGAAATATTACAAAATAAAAGCCAAAACATAACAAAAGTTTTACTAAAAGTGAAAAATAGTTTCTTGTAGAAAAAAAAATCAAATATAATAAAAATTTAATTATCAAAATAAAAAACAATTAAAAAACAGAGACCAAAATAAAAATAAAATCCTATTAAATTTAATGGCCAAAACAAAGAAACAAAATCACAAAGCAGAAATTATAATAGAAAGAAAAGTTTCACTAAAAGAAAAAAAAACTTAAGATAGTGAAACTTTATTTAGTTTTAGTATAGTAAGGATAAAAATCAAATATAATAAAACTTTAATGACTAAAATAAAAAAATATCATAAAATAGAAAACAAAAAATAACATAAATATTTACTAAAAGTCAAGAAAAAATATTTATTTTGAGGAAAAAAATCAAATATAATAAAATTTTAATATTTATTATAGGGACAAAAATTAAATATAATAAAATTTTAATGACCAACATAAAAATATTACAAAACAGGGACTAAAATAAAAATAAAAGCCAAAAGAGGGGCTTAGGCGCTCAGCTGCAGCAAGAGGCAAAAAAAAAAAAAAAAGAATTTTAATGCCCAAAATAAAAAAAAATTACAAAGCAAGGACTAAAATAAAAGCAAAAGCCAAAAAAGGGGCTTAGGCGCTTAGCTCCAGCAAGAGAAAAAAAATAATAAATAAACAATTGTGAATAGTTAATTCACATTAACTGCTATAATGGTTTTGCGTTTTCTTTTGGTTTTATTTGTAATTTGCAATTTTCACTGTTACAAAAGAAACTAAAAGGCATGAGATTTTACTGTTGTTAGACTGTTCATACTTTCTCTTTTAACTATTCATATCATTTTTTTACCTTTCAATCTGGGTTTCGGGTTTTCTTTCCTATTGTGTTTTTTTTGGTTTTGCTTTCATACAAAAACCCTTCTATTTTACTCTTAATTTCTATCATGCCACTCAATGAATTTATGAAATTTCACATTTACCCTTGATTGATTTGCTTTTAATTTGGTTCTTGGGTTTTTTTGTCATTTCCTTTGTTTGCCAATCATTTGCTTTAGACGACATTTAATGCTTTGTCATTCATTGTTTTTTCCTCTTTGTTTGTTTTTTGCAGGGAAGAATTGCAATCAAGAATAAATTATAAATCAGTACCTGTTGTTTCCAAAAACAAATTAATTAATTTCTATAATTTTAAAAATTGATTATTTAATTTTATTTGCTATTTTTCAATTTATTTTAATTTTTTTCCTTTAACATATAGAAAAGAAATAAAAAATAAGTGAAAATATGAAAAGGTTATGAAACAATAAGTTATTTTATAATTAAGAAAAATTATCATAGTCAACACTGGTTAAAATAATTAAATAATTAGTTTTGAAATTAAAAAGATTAATTAATTAATTTCTTGAAACATGAGAAACTAATTTATAATTTACTTTGCAATTTAAGGAACCCCTTTATTATTATTTTCAGCTAATTTCTTTTATATAAATATCATAGTCTATATAAAAATAGTGCATTAAAAAGAATTGTATTAGGTATAAGACACTAAAAGATTTTATAAATATGATACGGTGATTTTATTTTTGTGCCTAAAGTTGTACTCTAGAGATACTTTTATGATTTCTTTAAAAAAAAATTGCTTATTTTTTTAATTGCAAGTTGATTGTTCATACACACAAAATGCACTTAATATTTACTTTTTTTAAATAAATATTTTGAAATCAATTCCTCTCAAATAAATTTAAAATCAATACCCAAGTGGTACCATAGTTTTTAAATAGAGTTTTTTATTCTAATATTTACTTTATAGTTTTATTTTAGGCACCTAATTTTATGATTTTTTAATTTAAATTTTGTATTCAATTAATTATTTCTCGTGTTTCTTAAAATATTTCCTTCTTAAAAAACATGATTTATTTTTTGTTATGCATGGATTCTTAAATAAAAATTTATAATAATCTAAAATGCAAGTTTCAATTTATCATAAATCCTAAAAAATATAAATGCATAAATTTAATTATTTATTTTGTAAAATTGTATTGAGAAAATAAAGCAACAATTAATTTAAAAAAATGCTTAAAAAATTTAGGATTTAAAATATTTTTTTATAATATTGATGAGAAGATGAATTTTTAAAAGTATGTATATTAGGTTTATATACATATATTTTTAAAATAATAATAATAATAATAATTAATTTTAAAAAAGTGCATAAAAAACTCTTTTTAAAAAGTATGGTACCACCAGGTGTTGTTTTTTTTAAAAATTTTTTTTTTATTATTTTATTTGAGAAGAATTGATTTCAAAATATTCATTTAAAAAAGGTAAATACTAAGCCTTTATATATATATATATATATATATTTGCAACTAAAAAAATTTATAAAAATAATTTTGATATTTAATTTTATTATAAATAATATAATAGAAATTTTATTTTACTTTGAACGCTGAAGCATTTGATCTAGTGAATTTCACATAGCATAAGTAAAAAAAAAAAACATACAAAATCAATACGGATGTATATAGATTTGAACTGCTATTCAATGTAGAAAAAAAGTTTTTCAAAAATAAAACCAACCATCAAATATAATTGTTTCAAAGGAAAGCATAAAGGCAAGTTCCAATTTATCGAAAATCCTAACAAAAAAATATTTATTAATTTAATTATTTATTTTATAGGATCGTATCAAGAAAATAAAGTAACAATTAATTTTTTTAAAAATTGCAAAAAAATTTTAAGATTTAAAATAATTTTTTATAATATTGACAAGAATATTAATTTTTAAAAATATGTATATTAGCTTTATTATATTAGATTTAAAAAATAAGCATTTTTTTTAAAGAAAACATAAAATTTTTTTCAGACTATAACTCTAGACACAAAAACAAAATCATTATATATATTAAGTGTACTCCTAGACCCGCGAGTCAAGAATTCTCTACCCAATGGGCCTAAAATTTTTAAAAGCTTACGAACGAAATCACTTTAGTCCAACACCCTTAAAAGGCTTATAGAGCCCAATAAATCTCTCTAGGGCACGTGAATCCAGAAAAAAACCCTAAAAACACAACACTATAAAATCTCTCTTCTCAAGCTGTAGCTGATATTTGCCTTCCTCTCGCTCTCTGCCTCCAAAATCTAAAAGCAAAATCTAGGGTTTTGATTGAAATCATGGCAGACAAAGCAGTTACCATTCGTACCAGGAAATTCATGACAAATCGTCTCCTTTCAAGAAAACAATTCGTAAGCTTTGATCCTCGCATTCTTTCTGTTTCCTTCATTTTTCTAGGTGCCTAATCAAGGGTTTAGTAAGAAAGCTGGTTAATTGTAGTTTTGCTCAACTGGGTACAAGGGTTTTGTAAAGAAAGCTGGTTAGTTATGGTGTTGCTCAAGTGGCCCATTAGAATCTTGAACCGTAAGGAAGAAAGTCTAGAACTTTTTTGAGATTGTTGTTTATGAATGTTGTTTGTTTATTGGGTACTGGCAGGTTTAGTCTTGGTGTTAAGTGTTTGTTGTCTTAGGAGTTGCTTGTTCCGAATCGAATGGGTTACGGATCTTAAATGGATAGATAAAATATGTTTATGGATTTTAATTAGTTAATGTGATTAGTATTTGTTTTGTTTTGTTTTGTTTAAATTGCAATAAAACGTGATTTAAATTAGCGAAGTTCTGTTTCTGTTTATTTAATGTCAGTGATAGATGTGTATGTGGATTATCAAATGAATGGAGTGTTCGACTTTTTTGGGTTCTGAGTAGTGGGTTTAGTGTGTGATGGTAATTTTTATGCGCCAGTGATGCTTGCTATTATTGATGGGTTTCAAGAAATCCATTTGATGATTTGTATCCACCAAGATCTGAGGCCATGAATTCTTTTGTTTTTCTTTTTTACTTTTGTGGTCTTTGGTAGTGTTTATTGGTTGGTAAAATGAGGTGTTGTTCCATGTTTACGGATCCTGACATTAATGGTTAGTTTAGAATAATTATACCTTGGTGTCAAAATGGGTTCTGCAGAGCATTGCCTGCTAATAATTGTTTTTGGAGTAGGCTGTAGATCTTCAGTCAAGATGTGTATTCCAATGTATTTGTTTTCTTTTTCATATAAGGTCTTCAAGTGTTTTTGAATTCCTCTCTTTTGATTAATGCAGGTCATTGATGTTCTTCATCCTGGTAGAGCCAATGTTTCTAAGGTATATCCTCATTCACATGCTGTTTTTTCAAATTCTTATGGGTTTTATTTTGCTGAGAATTATTTGTGTTATCTATGGTTAGAAAATATTTGCATATTATATGAGGATTTGGAACAATTTGCCTTGATTTCATATTGGGTTTGTATTGGACTATTAAATGTTATATGGTTCCAATGTTATTATACATTACACCTTGAGGTTTCTAAGATTATTTGCATTGACCCCCTTTTTTTTGTTATAAAAGTTGACTTTTGAGTGACTGATGCGCATCTGGTTTTGTTGTTTACCTTGCACTTATTCTCATACGAAGGCGGAACTCAAGGAGAAGCTGGCAAATTTGTATGAGGTGAAGGACCCAAATACAATCTTTGTTTTCAAATTTAGGACCCATTTTGGTGGTGGGAAATCTACTGGATTTGGGTTGATTTATGATACAGTTGACAATGCAAAGAAGTACGAGCCCAAGTACAGGCTCATTAGGGTATGTTTTTAATGTCTATTCTTCTATCTCAACTTCCATATATATTTTGATCTTCTTTTCTTGTGGAGTGCTAGTGTTTTTATGCAAATGATGCATTAATTATGTAATATGGAGCTAAAATTAAATGCATAGTGTTCCCTTTGCAAGCCTTTGCTAGTTATAGATGTGATTCTTATTTGTAGCTATATATTTATATTCTGTGAGTATTATCTTATACATCAGTGCATCCGTTGGCCTGTTTAAGCATCTCATTCCATCTATGTTTTATATGATTCATGCAAAGTCTTGTTCAGTTGTGATAGTTCTCCATAATATCCATTCTTGCTTTATCTTGTGTCTTGTATTTGGCAGAATGGGCTTGCCACCAAGGTAGAAAAGTCAAGGAAACAATTGAAGGAGAGAAAGAACAGAGCCAAGAAAGTCCGTGGAGTCAAGAAGGTGAGTGGCTGGTTTTATTTATTATTGTATCTTGATGTTTGTTGCTTATTTCTTTTTTCATCACTTAATGTTTCAATAGCAATGACTTGGCTTAATATTTTCTGTACTTAATATTTTCTGATGCAGACTAAGGCTGGAGATGCTGGAAAGAAGAAGTGAGTGATAGGGGATTTTGTAATAGTTTTTATGTGCCCATATGCACCAGGGAGGATTTCTTCAATATTCTTGTTCTCTAGGTACTTTCCAAATGGAATTTCTTCCTTTTGTTTGATCTCATCTTTTGTTTAGCTAAATTATCTGATATTGAGCACTCATCAGTGGACAAGTTTTGGAACATTTAGCAGTTATATATTTCTAGTTATTTTCATTTTGTTGTTTTCGTAACAATACTCAACAGATGCCTGGAATTAAATCCTATGTTGAAACTACAAAGCTGCAACGTTTGGATTTGTTATTTGGATGTGTGACGCTCAGCTATATGCTAATGACTTTAGTCATCAGTTCATCATGATTGCCGATCCTGCTTCAGTCATCTGATGATCTTATTTATGGGAAAATGATTTTTTGAACCCAAAATTAGAATGGAAGGGTTGAGAGTGTCAATTAGAAATATATTTTCTGGAAACGACAGTGTCAAAGCTATAAAATGAAGTTTGAAATTATAAAATGGCAGTACTTGGTGGTTAACAACTATATTTTATAAAAATTATGGTATATTTTCTACAGATGGTATGTTTTATGCCTCATTAGAGGTTTGATGCGTTTGCCTCGTTAAAAGTGCGATGTGTTTGAACGAATGAATCATTTTCTTTGATGATATTCTGAAGCTTGGGATCATATGGTGAATATGATATGTATTCTCTGTCCTACCATTTTATTCAATAGCATTGCAGTTAATCTACCTCTTTCGAAGCATTAGAGTACATGCACGTGGGTCGGTGTGAGCTTATTTTAATGCTTAAGTAATCCGTGTTGGGGCGTCGTTTCTGTGTCGTATGGATTGTAAGTTGTGACGGTCAAGAGAGGAAGTAGCGAGGAGTTCGGTCTCAGCTTCTAGAAGCAGGCCACATGCATGGAATTCTACAGAATGAATTTCAAGCTTTTCAACATGTTAAGCACTCTTAATAATCACGTTTCCACGTAAATAGTTTGTTCAGAGCAAGGAAATTTCTCGGATGGAATTTCACTCTGCTAGTCCTTGTGAAATGTTCCAAGTTAGGTAGGTCGAAGAGCCACATACTTTTCGTATCCCTTTCGGTTGAAAAGATAGGTATGGCATCTGGATTAAATCTTTTTAAGAACATCAAACTGATTCCGGATTCTGTGTCCGCCACTTCAGTTGTGCCGAGGAAGAACGCATGTGGATTTTGGCCGTCCGGATGATTTTTTATTAAAAAAGAAAAGAAAAAAAGAGGAACTAGACTTTTTGCTAACTTGAAGCAACCAAATAACCTCTCTTTCTTAACTTGAAGCAACCAAATAGTTAGAGCCACCCAAAGACTGAATCATGACCTTTTGGCTAATATTCTAGGTATATAAATCACTATCAACATTGTGAATTGCTGAATCCATGATGATCCGCTCAAAATTTAGCGCAAGGATCTTTACAATCACTTAAAATTTGATCAGGTTAAGATTTTAATCTGGATTATAAAATAAATAGTACCTAAAACCTAAAAACTATCCAACAACGATTTCCAAAGTGCACTTTTAGTTACTTTTGTACACACCTTTTCTTTCTCGTACCGACGACTTCTTAACCTTCATAATTAGGCATGAAACCTTAATATACTGTTGTTCATCACTATGGCTGCGATTAACAGAATCCTGTCACCATCTACTGCTACTTCATTTTTTTTTTTTTTTTTCCAACGTACTTAGTGATAGAATATAGAACTAATTGGATTTTAAAATGGTTGTTGTGTTTTTGAAAATTTTATTTTCTAGGATTCTTGTAATTGGAAACCAAGACAATAACTTTTAAAGCAAACCCATTTACCATGTAAACTAAACCTCAAAATAATAATAATACTACCCAAAATGGTTGGTTTGAATGAAATGAATTTTAATCGTTTAATCAAATGATTTCGGATTTGAGTTTTTGTGTATGTAAAAAACTTTTTACGTAACGGTCCTTGCTTTATGCATTCAACAAAATAGAGAGTGATTAGTTTGAACATTTGGGTTTGAAATACCCCGAAAGATAAAGAAATAAAAATAATAATGTTGGATAATGAATCATACACAAAAGAAGATTGACATTCCTAATATTTTGGAATGCTTAATTTGAATTTTGCACTAAGACTTTGAAAGTCTTTTGGAGTTATTCAATTAGTTTTTTGGATTTGTTTGGATCAAATAACACAAAACCCTTCAATCTATCAGAATCCATCGTCCACGCATGATGATCCATAAAACCATGAAAGTCTTGCTATTCAATTAACCTGATATCATTTTTTTTTAATATATTGAAAGATGTCCAGACTATTTAGTATAACTAGTTTATTAAAAATTACAAATCACTCCATCAATACATGTTAAACTATTTCAGGGTTGTGTCAAAAGTCACGTATGAATTTATCTATGAATTTCTTTTTTATATCTAGAAAGGAAACTAAATCAATCAATAAGTAGATGATTATTTTACTTATTTAGAAAGAAAATATTCAAAATATTTAATTATTATCACTTAATAGCACTAAAAATCTGATTTTAAATAATCTATACAACTCAACAATCCACAGGTGGGTAATTTCTTAATCTCATAATCAAATGAGGCAGAAACAAAACTGAATTTGTGTAAATAATCCAACCATTAATTTGAGAAGAATAAAAATAAATAAATAATATAATTTTCTATTATTTCTTTATTCTTATTACATAGTAATATATACGGCTATATTTAACCAACAAACAAGAAGAGAAGGAAAAAAAAAAAAAGAAACAAAAATTTGAATCAGCGTCAGCGTTCTCACAATCAAGATTCCCATCTGTCTCTCTCTCTCTCTCTCTCTAAATTTCACGTGTCTTTCCTTTTCATTTTCTTTTCCCTGTCTTTTTCTCTCTCTCCCTTTCCTTCCTGTTTGGAAGTGAGACTATAAATACAGTTAATTCGTGGACTAGTTTATATCCTCCTCTTTCACACGTTGTTTTCTCTCTCTTTATCTACTCTCTTCCGCACCATTTCTTATTAACCCCATTTTCTTTACTTCCTTTCATCATGGAGGATGCTAATGGTAATCGACTTTTCTTTTTTCTATTGCTTCTTTCTTGAATTATAATGATGGGTTTTGTTTTTAAGGTGTTCTTCTTGTATGGATGTGTTTTGTCATGGTTTTGGCTGCTCTTGTTGTGTTTTTACATGCTTTCTGTTTTGTAAGTTTTATTGTTTTCTTTAAGTGGGATTTTCAGTTTGGTCAATTTTCTGTTATTTTGTTTTGATTCTATTTTTGTTGTTTGATATACTTGAAGTTAAAGCATAGACCTGGCATGAATTCACATGTTTGTTATATTTTACTCATTTAAAAAAAAAGATTTTTGGGATGTCTTAAAATGGTATACATACTTTCCAAGAATTTCAGCTATAAGTCCTGTTTTGGAGATTTACAGAGTGGGCGTTCTTCTTCTGTGTTTCTACAGATTAATTTGTAGATTTTGGTGAGGCTTAATATATAGATGTATAAGGATAGCAACAATTGTCCTTTTGATGCATCTTTAAGGAACATTTCTATCTCTCGTGATGTTTAAAATGTTCACTCAGCAATTGGTAAACCAAACTATCAAAGATAATGGATGGGTGAGAAAGCAATAACTGATAGTAAATCTAAGAATTTTATCATCTATTCACATTTCACCATCTGCTGGTTGATCAAATTATGCTTCCATGAGGAACATATTTCAATTTACTCATTTCCATTTCTTTATACTCCAGTCAATTTGATGGTTTTCATTATTGTGAACACTGGGAAAGTTTGTTTCTGTCCTTGTTTGTATTAATGCATTGTGGCTCCCCACTTATCTGTATAGTAGAAATTTCTGTTTGTTTTTCCTGTTAAAGAGGACTCTTTTGTTTCAAGACCATCATGTTTTAGTCTGTTGATAGTTATTGATTATGACAGTTAGTTTTCGATGATTGGCCAACCAGCTGTTCAGGATAGAGACCATAAATTCTTAAGCAAAGCAGTTGAAGAAGCTTATAAAGGTGTTGAATGTGGAGATGGTGGTCCTTTTGGTGCTGTCGTTGTTCGAAATGACGAGGTAGTCATGAGCTGTCACAACATGGTTTTGAAAAACACCGATCCCACTGCACATGCAGAAGTTACAGCTATCCGAGAGGTTCATACTTGAAATTGTCTTATTCCCCTGATTTTATATGCTTGCTGGGTGTTGTGTCATGTGTGTTGATGTGCAAATTGCTCTCCATTCAGTAATTTCTGCTATACAATGCATAAATAATAATAATGAAAAATTCTCACAGGCTTGTAAGAAGCTGAACCAAATTGAGCTCCCAGATTGTGAAATCTATGCGTCCTGCGAGCCTTGTCCGATGTGCTTTGGTGCCATCCATCTTTCAAGAGTCAAGGTCGAATAGCTCAAATTCTCATTTTCACAAAGATATTTAATGCTTCAAGTTTTTCCAAGTTCCTAACATGTTAGTGTTTGGATTCTCTGCAACAGAGGTTAGTTTATGGGGCTAAAGCTGAAGCAGCTATTGCAATTGGGTTCGACGACTTCATTGCTGATGCATTGAGAGGTACTGGGTTCTATCAGAAGGCTCGCTTGGAGATCAAGAAAGCCGACGGTAGTGGCGCTGCTATCGCAGAACAAGTATTCGAAAAGACGAAGTCGAAATTTACCATGTATTGATCTTCATAAAAAAGCTTGCTTGCTTGTAACCATCTATTGTATGCTATCATAACTGATATATGCCAGCCAATATATAGTTCCTCACAAGCTTTTTTCAGAAATTCGTTTGTCTCGAAACCATTTTCGAAATTTTAATATTACACGCAAAAATCGGTAACGGACGACAAAACTGATTGATGCTGAATAGGATGTTGAATGGACAGCTGAAAAAAGCTGGCAGATTTTAAGCAAAACGCCTTTGCTTCTTAATCCTAGGCACTCGAGAAGCTGTTGTTGAGTTGATAACTAGGCCAGCATTGTCCTAGACACTTTTCTTGATTTTTCTCAACCTAATTAACAAACCCTAACAATTCAATTAAATCACCTACTCTCTGGCTAAGGTGTCCACTAGCATTTGTTAAGAATCATTTAAAGTTGATTCTCTAGCAGATATGCAATCAGTACCAAATCAAATGACCAGATCAAGAATTTTCGAATACCTGTTCTGTTTTTCCTTCTTATCTCTTCATATGCTTTTTATTTATTTACTTATGAATATTTAAACAGCAAAGCTTATTTCTATTTTTTTCCTCCGTATATAACAGAAAGAGAAAAGCAAAAAGAAAAAAGGAAAGTTGAAAAATTCAAAAAACGAAAAACAAAATCATATCCACGAAAAAAACCCTAAGAATCCGGCAAATATGTTTTCCTTCAATTGCGTTTCTTTCATCAACCTTTCTCACCCTTCTGCCCGTTTTCACCCGATGGGTCACCAACACCCTTTCCTCCTCTTCTATCTCTTCCTCCTCCTCTTCTCCGCCGCCACAGCTGACGACGGCGCCACCATTCTAAAACTAGCCAACTCCTTAACCCCATTACCCTCCGGCTGGTCCACAAAATCCCCCACCGGTTTTTGTTCCTGGCGTGGTATAAAATGTGATTCTTCCAACACAAGAGTCACCTCCATTTCTCTCTCAAGACTCGGCCTCTCAGGCACTCTTCCTCCAGAAATCTCTACCGTTTCTGAACTAGAATCTCTTGCTGTACAGGACAACTCGCTTTCTGGGGACCTCCCATCTCTCGCTAACTTAACAAATTTGCAAACCGTTTTCTTGGATTCCAACAATTTTACATCCATCCCTCCTGGTTTTTTTCAAGGCTTAACGAGTTTGCAGACGTTGAGCATTGGAAGTAATGCTAATTTGGCTCCATGGCAGCTTCCAACTGATTTAGCTCAATGTACAAGTCTGACAACGTTAACAGCCAACGAATGTAATCTTTTTGGGTCCATTCCTGACGTTTTTGGGTCGTTACCAAGTTTGCAGAATTTGAGGCTCAGTTATAATAATTTGACGGGGGTTTTGCCGCCTTCTTTTGCGAATTCTGGGATACAGAATTTGTGGGTGAATAATCAGCAAAATGGGTTAATTGGGAGTATTGAGGTGATTGGGTCGATGACTCAGTTGTCTCAGGTTTGGCTTCATAAGAATCAGTTTACGGGTCCTATACCAGATTTGAAAGAATGTAAGAGCATTTTTGATTTGCAGTTGAGGGATAATCAGTTAACAGGGATGGTGCCTGCGTCTTTGGTTTCTTTGCCGAATTTGGTGAATGTTTCTTTGTCTAATAACAAACTCCAAGGACCTGCGCCTCGGTTTCCGGGGACTGTTATCGCTGACAAAATTGAGAATAACAATTTCTGTGCACCTACTGGGGTTCCTTGTAATGCACAGGTTATGACATTACTCGAAATTGCTGGGGGTTTTGGGTATCCCTCAATTTTGTCTGATGATTGGGATGGTAACGATGTTTGTGGTTGGCCCTTTGTTACTTGTGATGTTGGCAAGAAGAATGTTATTACTGTGAATTTGGCAAAACAGCATTTTATGGGGAGGATCTCTCCATCATTTGCCAAGCTCACTTCCTTGGAAAATTTGTATCTCAATGACAATAATTTGACAGGTTCAATTCCAGATAGCTTGACCAAGCTGCCGGAGCTATCAACCCTTGACGTTTCCAACAATAACCTATCTGGTGAAATTCCAAAGTTTCCAGCCTCTGTGAAATTTATTACAAAGCCGGGAAACCCCTTTTTGGGGACAAAAATAGACACTGGAAGTAGAGAAACCACAGGTGGAAGTGGTGTAGGACCTGGCGGTACAAAGAAATCTGGAGGTATGATTGCAGGCATCATTGTCGCTGTTGTCATTTTCATTGTTTTCCTGTCATTTGTTTTATATAAATATAAGAAACGACATCCAAAATCTGGGAAGGAGGTGGAATGGAATAGCGGAGAGGCATTTCATAAAAATGGAGTTGCAGGTGGAGGGAATGGGTATAATGGGGTTCCAGTTGAATTGCATAGCCAGAGCAGTGGTGGCAATAAGGGCACAAATATTTTTGAGGGTGGGAATGTTGCCGTGCCAATTGAAGTTCTTCGACAAGTGACTGATAATTTTCATGAGATTAATATTATAGGGAGAGGTGGTTTTGGAGTGGTTTATAGAGGAGAGTTGCATGATGGCACTAAGATTGCTGTGAAGAGAATGGAATCCACAGTGATGGGCACCAAAGGTATAAGTGAGTTTCAAGCAGAGATTGCAGTGCTTACAAAGGTTAGGCATAGGCATCTTGTTGCTCTCTTAGGGTATTGTACAAATGCCAACGAGAGACTCTTGGTCTATGAGTATATGCCACAAGGAACACTAGGACAGCATTTATTCGAACGCCATGATTATGGGTACACTCCACTTACGTGGAAGCAGCGGATCACAATTGCACTGGATGTGGCAAGAGGAGTTGAGTATCTGCACAGTTTAGCACAGCAGAGTTTCATTCACAGAGATTTGAAACCTTCAAACATTCTTCTCGGGGATGACATGAGAGCCAAAGTGGCAGATTTTGGTTTGGTTAAAAATGCACCAGATGGGAAGTATTCTGTGGAAACACGATTGGCGGGCACTTTTGGTTATCTTGCACCTGAGTATGCTGGTAAGTGGCTTTGGCCCTTTTTGTATATTGTCATCTTTGTTGAAGGGAATTCTCCAATTGCTTGTTCTTCTTAACAATGATTTAACTTACTAGTTCTTCTTAAGTACTTAAGATTGCAATGATATAGGCCAGAATTAGCACTATGAAGATAGGAAGATCAATATGTTCAAGTTGCAATGAGATAGAACTACTCGTACTATAAAGATTCTTTTTGTTATGTTTCTCTCATGTTCTGATCATCTTAGCGTCTAATTATTTTTTTTACCCGTGTTAAGCTACGAGTCAAATAAAACACATAAAATTATTTTTAAAAAATTATTTCAGTTTGATATCTCGTGTTACATTGCATGCCTACCAAAATACATAAAATTACAAAAAAAACTAAAACAAAACACTAAAATACTGTAGCGTTTTACTGTTCATTTACTTCTTCTTCTTTTTTTTTTCTGGGCCTTGCCTTGCCTATAGCTTGGGTTAATTTTTATTTTTTTTTTCTTTTTTTCCCTCTTGCGTTGCCTGTAGCCCCTTTTTTTCTTTCTTTCTCTCTCTTGATACTTTAAGCCTCTCTTTTGGCTTTAAATTAACTTAAAAACTAAAACAAAACGCTAAAATACTGTAGCATTTTACTGTTTATATATATATATATATATTTTTTTTTGCCTTGTTTTGCCTATAGCCGGGGTTGATTTTTTTCTCTTTCTTTTTTTCTCCCTTGCCTTGCCTCCTTTTTTTTTTTTTTTTTTTTTTTTCTTTTCTTTGGATGCTTTAAGCCTCTCTTTGGTTTTAAATTAACTTAAAAACTAAAACAAAACGCTAAAGTACTGTAACGTTTTACTGTTCATTTACTGTTTAGAATTTTTTTTTTTTTGGCCTTGCCTTGCCAATAGCGCGGGTTTTTTTTTTTTTTCTCTTTCTTTTTTCCCCCCTTGCCTTGCCTTGCTTGTAGCCCTGTTTTTTTTTTTTTTTTTTTTTTTTTCCTTGGTGCTTTAAGTCTCTCTTTTGGCTTTAAATTAACTTTACATTTTAGTCACTATATTTTGTAACTTTTTTTTTAATTTTAATCATTAAAATTTTATTATAATAAATCAGTTTTTTTTCCTTTTATTACATTTTTTTAATTTTAATTCTTATTTTATAATTTTTTTTATCATGGTTATTAAAATTTTATTATATTTCATTTTTGTCCCTATAATAAATATTAAAATTTTATTTTATTTTTATTTCATTCCTTATTTTTTAACTTTTTTATTTTGATCATTAAAATTTTATTATATTTAATTTATATTCCTATAGTAAATCATTTTTTCTCTTCTTGTATTTTTTAAGCCTCTCTTTTGGCTTTTAGCGAATTTTATTTTTAATTTAGTTCCTGTTTTGTAAACTTTTATTATTTTATTCATTTAAATTTTATTATATTTGATTTTTTGTCCCTATAATAAATATTAAAATTTTATCATATTTGATTTTTTTCTTATAATAAATATTTTTTTTCTTGATTTTTAGTAAAACTGCTCACAGCCTTATCGTTTATAAATTTTTTTTTTTTTTTTTTTTTTATCATTCTTTTATGATCTTTACTTTGTTTTGATCATTTAATTTTGATCGTGTGTAATTTTATCTCTATTTTTTTGTCAAATTCTCGATTTGATAAAGTTTTTTGTCTTTTTATTTTGGGAAATCTCTTTATCTCATTAACAAATTATAAATAAAGAATATATGGTAAAAATTATTCATCTAAAATTCAAAAAATACCATATTATTATTTTAATTATTAGTTATGATATATATTTCTAATAAAGTACATGTTTATATCAAACAATATCTAATTAACAACATCATATTGCTCAACTTTACCGCATGCTTTTCGTTTAGCTAACCTTACGGCAAAATATAAGATATATGTTTTGGTTTTTTTTTTAAATTTTTTTGCATGATCCTTTTAAATAATTATTTTTAAATTTTGTATTTTATATGAATGAATACATAAGAATGTTATATAACTCACTCTGAATTTTTTTCGCGTGATCCTTTTACATAATTATTTTTAAATTTTTTATTTTATATGAATGACTACATAAGAATATTGTATAGCTCATTCCGCGGCAACACGCGGGATATATGCTAGTTAAAACTAAATAAAAATTCATTCAATTTTTAATTATTTGATCAAAATTTTGTATTTGACTGATTATTCTTTATATTTTTCATAAATTAAAAAAAAACATTATTTATTTATCTATATTCATATTTTTAACTAAAACTTTATAGTAACGTAAGAAACAAAAATCAAAATCAATGGATTCTTAGCTTAAAACTCATTTTGTAAATTGTTTTTTTTAAAACATTATTTTTGTCTGAAAATTTTTAATTAAAAAAGTCAGAGAAAAAAATGCAAGGACCAAAATGAAACAAAAAAGATGGACCAAAATGAAATAGAAAAATAGCAAACTGAAAAAACAATATTTAAAAAATAAAGATTAAAGTATAATGCTATGAAAACTTTCATAATAAATATATTTAAAAAGTTTGAAAACTATAAAAATGCCATTGTATAATGGAAGAAACAATGCATATGAGTCTGTATGAATAATGGAAATGAGTCTAGATAGTGTTTAGAACAGTACCAATAAATAGTAAACTAACATTGTGGTTTAGTTTTTTTGTTAATTTTGTGCTGTGTCAATTGGGTTTGTTCATGGCAGCATTCTAGAAATAGCCATATTTTTGTTGTCTTTTCTTGTAAATGCTTCAGCTTATTGGCTGCTGATATTGATTGTAAATTTCTCTTGATTTGATCAACTGAATTTGTTAAGCTCAGTAAAGGTTGACGTTTTACAAAGGTTCAATTTATTCTTCGAACAATTTTTATTGTTTGTGTTTCTATCAGGTGCACATGTGTGCAATTATGCATGCTGCAACCATGTTTTCAAGGATATCTCAATGTTAATTTTTTGTTTAATTCTCAGATTCTGCAAACACTTTAGTCTGTGATGATATCATGAAATTATTTGGGTATCAGTTTCCTTTCGTTTCTCGATGATCTAAACATGAATTAAATCTACTTTGTTTTCTTTCAGCTACTGGAAGAGTGACGACAAAGGTGGATGTTTATGCCTTCGGAGTTGTTCTAATGGAGATTATAACTGGCAGAAAAGCACTGGATGACACTAGGCCAGACGAGGCAGCTCATCTGGTCACATGGTTCCGTAGGATCCTGATCAACAAGGAGAACATTCCAAAGGCAATTGACGAGTCTCTAAATCCAGATGAAGAGACATTAGCCACCATTTATACGGTGGCTGAGTTAGCAGGACATTGCACCGTCCGCGAGCCACTTCAGAGACCGGACATGGGGCATGCAGTGAATGTCTTGGCACCTCTTGTAGAGCAGTGGAGGCCGGCTAGCCAACAAGAGGACCAGAGTTTCGGCATTGACCTTGACACCAACCTTCCTGAAACTCTGCGAAGATGGCAAACTGAAGAAGGTACTTCCATGATGTATGATGATACTTCCTTCACACAGACCCAGTCAAGTGTTCCCTCCAGGCCCTCTGACTTTGCAAACACGTTTACTTCAAGTGATTGTCGGTGACAAAAGGTGATCAAAACAGTTTTGAAGAGATGAGTTGGAGAGGTGAAGATTGACATCCTTTTCAATTTGGTGGATTGCCACTGGTGCTTACAAAACTATATCAAGGCTTCGTTCAATTAATTATTCTTTTTTTTTTTTTTTGTTGCTTTTCATGATCTTAATTAGTACAAAGCTGAACGTTAGAGCTACGTTAGTTTTTCTTCTTCTTCTTATAGTCGTTGTGGCTACTGATTGATTTAGCTAAACTGGAGCCTAATCAGAAAAACGGGGAGAAAAAGGTGGTTGTAAAATATTTGAGGCTTTATTTTCATTATTATTATTATTATTATTATCAAGGTATATATTTTCTTTATTCCTGCTTTCCTTTATTCTTCCAGCTAGAAGTATTATGTGTTGTATCATATTCTATTATCGTGGTTTGCAGCTATTTTAGTCGCCATATTATCCATTTGTTTGGAGTTTGACCAGTGGTTTGCAGCTATTTTAATCACTACATTATCTATTTATTTGAACTATTTATCACTATCTTATGCTTGTTATTATTGTTTTTGCACATATTTTATTTAGTTATTGATTATTATTTTTATAAATTGTAACACTAACTTTTTATTTTAATTGATTTGTTGACTAATTGTTTGGTCAATAGCATGGTTTTAAACAGTCATCATTACGTAACCGTAATGATTGTTATATAACAATAATGAAATATCTCGTTACTTCGATACTCGTTATTCGGTGTTATACATATTCTAACACCGTTTCACATATATAATAACAAATAAGGACGTTATCGTTATATAACATCATTATTTATTATTATATAAATAACGGTGTTATACGTTAAAAAAACTTAAAATTCTTTTCTAATCAATTGCCAACGCAAAAAATGAAAAAAAAAAAAAAAAAAAAACAAATGGGACTGACAGGAAAGCTTGGTTGAAAATCATTGAGAGAGAGAAAGTTGAAGAAAGGAAAGCTTGGTTGAGAAAGAGAGAGACGAGGATGAAGTAAGGAAAACCTGGTTGAGGATTTGAAAGGAAGAAGAGACCTGAGTTAAATAGGAGCAAAGAGAGAGAGATAGACAGAGAAAGAAAGCGCAGCTTTAATTAAATAAGTTATAAATTAGTCTCTTTAGTTTGGGAAATAAAAGCTAGTCCTTCTTGTTTTAAAAATAAATTATTTAGTCCACTTTAAGTTATTTTTTAATTTTTTTCTTTTTCTTTTAAAAAAATTATATCATAAAAAAAATTGATTAAAAAAATATTTTTTGAAATAAAATAATATTACATTAAATATGATGAACACTCATAAAAAAATTAAATAATTAATGTTTGAAAAAAAGACTAATTAATTCAGTTATTAAAACTAAAGGGACTAATGTGTAATTTAATCCCAATTGCTCAACCAAATTTCAAGTTGCGGGGCAAAAAAATTCGAAGACCTGCTGGAATGCAGTTTTAAGTGAGTAAAATATAAATTAGTCCCTTTAGTTTGTAAAAATAAATTAATTAGTTCGTATTGTTTCAAAAACCGATTATTTAGTTATTTTTGTCTATTTTATGTTATTTTCTTATGTTATTTTCTTTTTTTATTTTAAAAAATAAAAAAAGATAAATTTATATCATAAAAAAATTGGTGAAAAAAACATTTTGTAAAATGAAATAATATTACATTCAACAAGGTCACCACTAATTAAAAGATTAAATAATTAATTTATTATTTTTTGAGTGATATTAATTTATTAGAAATGTTATTAATTTTTTTAATAAATTCAATTATTTTATATAATATTAAACTATTAAAGATGTTATTAGTATGTTTAAATCAGTAAAATTATTAAAAATATATGAATTAAAATAAATTTATTTACAGATTGTTAATATATTTATGACATCGATTGTCATAATCATTATCTTACTATCACGATAAGCCGCAATCCATAATCGTGATCCTTTTTTCAACCGTAATCGCTATTTAAAACTATGGTTGGAAGATTGTGAATAGCTTGTTAAGTTGCCCGATTCAATTGGCAATTTGAAATGCTTTAAGACATGTGAATCTTAAGAAAACAGCAATTGAAAGGTTACCTGCATCCATGAGTGGTTTGTATAATTTGCAAACTTTAATCTTGAAGCAATGCAAAAAAAATACGGAGTTGCCAGCTGATATGGCAAGGTTAATCAACTTGCAAAATCTTGATATTTTGGGAACAAAGCTGGTGAAGATGCCATCACAAATGGGTAAAATGACAAAGCTCCAAACTCTAAGTGACTTCTTTCTGGGAAGGCAGAGTGGCTCCAGACTCAGTAGTCCAGAATCTCACAAAAATATTTTAATTACGCATTGATTTGCATGCAAAGCTTACTGCCATGGCATGATAACCTTAATGACACGTCATGGTTCCTCAGAACCTCCTCTTTCTCTCTAGCAAGGAAAACTTAAAACTCATCGACAATTCGTTTAGCCATTAACTACATAGTTGTATAAGTAACACCAGGACTTGATGGCAAATTTATAAAACATCTATGTGCTTCTACTTGTGGACTCAAGAAGGGATAGCATTCAGGGATTGTTCCACTTTCACATTTCATTGTGGGGAATATTAAAGCAGGATCCAAGCTAATTGCTGGGCCGGCCACACAGGTTTCTTGTTTTATTAGGCATCATTTTCGGGGAAGGCTACCCTGCAATGAAACTCTTTCCTTTTCTCTCAACCTATAATAATGAGGAAAGACATAAAACACGAATTGGAAGGATACCATCTCAAAAGTGCTTCAACTTACGATACAATCTCCTAAAAAGGCAAGATTTTAATAAAGATACAAAATTACTCGAGCCAACGAACAAAACACCACTGAAGCAGCAATAGGCTATAGGTTTTCCTGATCAGAAAATTCTCACTTGGTTCCAGAGTATACAAAAGACCATCAACTGCAATCACGGCTTCAATCAAAAAAGTGCAAACGTATCAATATGTTGGCACAACATGAAACTTCGGATCCCAGAGATTACCTCAAACCATTCTGTTAACTTTCTCATTAAAATTGTCATATAAATGTATACATCTAACAAAGTCTGTAAAATTACAACAAAAATTGTTTTACATCTTCCCCTCCACCACAAGAATTCTTAAGAGTGCTTTTTCTTGAAAGACCCTTGATCATTAGACGTCTAACCACCAAGGGGTAGGGCAGGCATAGGGATTCTTACAGTACCCGATGACTAATAGCAACGGAAATGGTGGGGAAAACGGGGTAAAGCACCAATAAAAGAAAGCTTTATATTTATTATTGGCAATTGCTGTTATAAAATATAGAACCACACTCAACAAAACTTCCATGGCAAAATTCATTCCAGCTTGCTTTCTGTGAATAAATAGAGGGCATGGCTGACACACATCAAGCAAGACACTGATTTTCTTTACTTCGAATCCAATTTTGCCCTTGCAGGCGCCTATCAAAACTTGTAAAACCAACTGTATATGCCAGAATTATGAGGACATCTTTACTTGAATTTGCCGATGGATATGCACTAGAAATTCTACATAGGAGAGAGCACCGGCCGGAATCTTGTCTTCAATCAAATTTGAGAAGAATGACATTCCTGACGAAAAAGAAACAGTTGAATTTTAACATATCAAACTCGTTAAGAATATTTTGACAACCAAAACTTTCTCCATACACTAGTATCAGTGGAGAAAAATTCAACACCAGGTGAAGATGAGAACGATGCATGTATTATGAAGCACAATTTGATTGGATGTAAAATAGATGTGCTCCCATTCACAAATCAAAATGATCATCAGGCATCTTTGGAAGTAGCTAGTGGTTTTTCTGACTACATAACAGTGCTGTAATTAGTCATCATGAAATTTATAATAACGATATATTGATACCAAATTACTAAGTGATCAGTCAAAACATGAGAAAATTGATGAGTAGCAATGTTGTATCGCCCAAAAAGTGAGGGAGGGTGGTGTCGCCATACTAACACTTCTGTTCACTGTTTCCAAGCAATGACCCAATGCAGTTCCTTCCTAACTAGTCACACATTTCCAAATAACCTAAGTATCAGAAATGACCTCCTGTAACTACTTTTGCAGGGGTACAGGATAATGTGAGAGTTTTTCTCTGTGAGGGGAGGGGGGTTTGTGATAAATCTGGTTTGTTTTGGTTTTGGGTTTACGATATGTAGTCTAGCAGGAATTACAGTTCCCTAGATTACAGAGAAGAGCAGGTCCAATGAACTCACCTGATGGATCTCCTTTTTTACACAACTTTAAGCTGCAAGAGAAAATTGCAATACATCAGAATGAGATATTGTGAGCACATGTGAAGATAGAATGACAGAAAAATATAATGAATAAATGTTATAAAAAAAAATCTTCAGAATAAAAATAGCCAACTGAAACATTCATACCGCAGGAAAGAACATCTTTGTCGTCGTATCTCATTCACCACATCATTTAGTTTCTTTGATAACGGATTGTCATATTGCTCCAGGACAAACTGAAGATACCAAAATAATTAGTGGAGAGAAATCAAACCTGAATAATTGAATGACTATGGAAATAGAAAATTTCTGATAACACATCACTGACAGAAGCCTCTGTATCTACAACATTAATTATCAAATTAACTCGAAGCTACAAAAACCTTAAAAGTTTGAGCATGTTGGCCTGTATTATCTCCAAAAGTTTCATGCATAAAATTCCCAACTGGGCCCTGTGAATGAGTAGTGTCCCATAAGCCCATTCTGTGGGCACATAGTATATGAAGTTATGTCCCTTGGGTGAATTTGGCATCTTACACGTTGGTCTGATGGCCAGGTACAGCATGCTCCAAACCAAGACTAATAATGTTTGGGAAATATAAATTCTTTAAAAGAAAGGTACCTGAGTTGGAATTTCAGCAACAGAGGAAATGCCAAAGAGTTTTTGCAAGATATCTGGATTAACAGAGTTCCCAATATATATTGAACCGTCCTGACCATTCTCAAGAAGATAGATTCCATCCTCACTCACATATTCACTAGAAAGTGGAAGTGCAGGAGGGATATGAGATCCATTTGCTTCCTGTCAATGAGCAGAAAGTAAACATTGAATTTAGGACAAATAAATAATATACGTAGCACCAAATATAATAAAAGAGAATTCATGCCTGTGAATCAAGGTCGTGGATTGCAATCATCCTAGGGTGCACCAACGGAATCGCTAAAGGAGTAGAAACAGAGGAAACATAATTGATCCAAAAAGACCGATCATCTATCCTCCCATCGAGTTTCAATCCTGTACTTTTAATTAATGCTGCAAGAGAGAGAGAGAGAGAGAGAGAACAGGGCAGAAATTCAAGGCATGTCAATTTCTTTAAATACACTAAAAGAAGCTTACTGACACACTTACAATCATTTCTAATGTGTCCAATAAACTATACACGCTGCAGAACAGAAATGAAATTATGGAATCAAAAAGAGGATGAAATACCAACGACCACCAAAACGAAAAATAGCATCAAAATTTATCAAATCAACATTTAACTGAAGCTATTTCTACCAACAAAAATAAAAATAAAAATGACAAGCTATAGAAAAGGTGAAAAGGGACAGTGCAACTGCATTGAACTAGTTTACTTATCTAACTTGCTTTCTTTAACCATATGAAGTTATTTTGCTCTTCGAAGCTGTACTGTGTTAACTCCCAGAAAAGAGATTATACTATACACCCAAGCGTACAAGGATCATGTATGAACTGTTGAAACAGTTCCACAGCATAAAACATAATTAATTGATAAGTGATTTCATTATAAATATTTGCAATTTCAACATAAACACTATCTACGAATAATAAAAAATTAATGGGTTAAAAAAATAAAGCATAAATTAAAGTGAGAGAACTACATACCAAGGGTGTACAGGGGCAGAAGTTTAAGTGCCTCTGGAAGGATGAGTTGCCCGGATGACGATACTGTTGCACAAAATTTGCGATATGAAAGAAGAATGTTTATGCAAAAGTTTGTCAATCGTTCTCGGACAACCAAGGGTGGGTTGGAAGGGATTTCATTTGCCGCTAGAAAGACAAGAAAAGACAAGCAAAGAAAAGTATCAGTCTTCTGACCTCAAAGAGATTAATTATTACTTGCAATTATGCCACAAACAACAAAAATTTCTAGAGAAAAAGAGACATTCATTCTTACGCAACTGGAAAAGCCAAAGTTTGGCAGGAAAACATGCCATACTAATTTCTATAATATGTTGGATGTGAATGTGAAACAATACAGTTATTATCATGCTGGTGGCTTAAATATGTTGGCTGAGAATGACATAATGATTGTCAGAAACCATGATATGTGCACAGAGTAACTATAAAAACAGTGTTAACAACAAAACAAGACAGAAAAAAGAATGCATGACATAAAATTCAATACCTTGCTTCAAGAAACACACAAATTGGGAATCCAAGTCAGCCAAGCGGAACAAATTACTTAAATTGTTTGTGCATGGCAATGATAGATTTGCAACCCGAATTCTTCTTTGGCCATACACAGTTGTGTAGAGGAGGGCACACTGAACCATGAAGCAACCAATATAAGCACACAGATAAAGAAATCTCCTCAAAAAAAGATAAAAGGGCAATCGCACCATGGTCATTCCAAGTTTCATGTTTCTAACAAAATGAATGCAGACAATTGGAATTGACACCCGAAATCAAGTTATTGTTACATGTCCAATGACCATCTAAATAGTTACTGCTTGTGTAATGTACCTGTGTTAATTGCATTGTATGTTGGTAATAAAAGCAGACAATTGGAATTGAGAGCCAAACTCAACTCAGCTCTCTCTCACTCTGTTAATGTTTCATGTTCAAGAACCATCTAACTAGATACTGCTTGCATAATGTACCTGTTTTAGATGCATTATATATCAGCAATGACGTATGGCATCAGCCACAATGTCAAGTTTTATAATTGTTCCTGCAGTCCCTCTATAAAAGACCACCCTACCTTTTTGTTTCTTTTGCGAGAAGACCAAGTAGAGAGCTAGAAAAGCTTGTTTACACCATTTGGGCAAATAATGGGGGAGTAGAGCTGAAGGTTGTCAGACGTCATCGTTGTTGTCATACAGCATTATTGACAGACCACATTTCAACATAATGGAGTTCCAAATCCATTTATTCTTTTGTCTGTGTTGTTGTTTCATGAATCCAGCCAGGATCCAAATAGCAGTAGCACATGAATTCCTGGTTACTGTTATCTTGGTCTGTTTAGATGGTTCTTGAACATGAAGCAGAAGTAAAAACCTGAAAGGGGTTTCATGTTTTTGATTAAATAGGCAGGTGGTTGGATTGGAATTGGATCCCTAGCAAAATGAATGGACCATCAAAGAACTTGAATTTTTATCAGCTGCTGACACTAAGACAAGGTAGGAAGGGTTTCTGGGAGAAATTACAGCACTGTACTTATAACGTGGATTCGCCATCTAACCTACTAAACGATAACTGTATGCAGCCTTACATTGTAATCAAGATGAAATTCAAGGATTTAATTGCTTGAATTGTAAAACAAGATTATTGGGTATGATGACCAAACTTGGTTGGACAACAACGTAATTCACCCTAGATGATACAAAAGTAGATAAGACAAGTATTAAAAGCTGTGCAGGTGGCAAGAAATACTAAGGTACCTGGAAAGCACACTCTGACCCATCCTGCAATTTATCGTCATGTTTTAATGTAACCATTATGGTTTTGTCGCAATCAATCTGCAAAACAGAAGTAATGGTTTACAGGTAGAACAATTAGAAGTAATAATGCCACAACATATGCACATTGCCACTTGACTAAAATGAAACCAAAGGAGATAAGAAACCAAGAAATGGATTGATGGAGCCATAGAAAAACAAAGTACATATAATGAATCAGCCTCCAAGAGATCAAACCAAGTCAAAACAGATTCTTCAAAGTACTCAATAGCTTGTTATAGGCAAGAAGTTTCTGGCATCTGACTATGATTTTACATTCAGTCTGATGCTTAAAAAGCAAATTTATTGTCCAGCATCAATCAAGGATGAATCTAGGTACTTCACAATTTCGATGCTCTCATTAACAAAGATATGAAAGTGTAATAAGCTAGTAAGAGTATGAAAATCAAGAATTTAATAAAAAGAAACAAACCGCGGCTAGGTCAATATCTGTTGGAATGCGCTTGCAAAAGTTTCCATGGTATTCTTGAACTTGGACGCCCTATAAAGAAACAAACCAAAACAACTTCCTAGTATCATGTAAGAAAAGAAATATAATAAATCAATTTATAACGACGAGCGAGGAAAAAAAAATCTAGATCCCAAAATGAAGTACCTGGCTGCACCTCACACGCATCACTGCCTCAAAACCTTGAGGCCTTGTGACATTCCATCTAAGATCATTGTAAAGCTTTGGCGGATCAGAAACAGCAGAGAAAGGATAGTAATAATAAACCTGGAATAGAATGTGGAACATTTGAAGTCAAAATGAGAAACAAACCAGCAGCTCTAGGAAGAAACTAGAAGTCATTCACAGCACATTGTTGGAACTCATACATTGGGTGATGCATACAATGACATGGAGGTGAAATGTCAGTATAAAACATATATCACCAATATGTGCTAATATTATCCAGCTTGTCTACAAGAGAGCAACCAGCAACTTTCTTCTAACGGTAAGGGCAGAGTTATCTTGTACAAGATATGCAGCATGGAACAAGGTCAGAGTCTAAAAAACTGAGGTCAGAACTCACTAAGAGGATTCAAGGTCCGCGACAAGTAATTAGCATTTGTTTCAATTAACATGTTTACATAATTTAGAATGCAACATGAAGTGAGTACTATCGAGAGAAACTAACACAAGTATCTAGGCCATAATCCACCAAAGAATGGAAGACATACTCAATACATCATTGAAAACTGACGTTTTACAGGACTATAAAACCCAGACCCAAAAGTCAATTATCATACTGAAAAAAAGAAATATTAGAAAAGGAAAATGAGAAACATATCACAGTAAGAACATCCAGCATATTAATCAGAAATAAATAGGTCCCAAATATCAGTGAACTACTGTAATAATAGACTTGCTGCCTTGAACATGGTATTGCAAAGATAAAATTCCAACATACATGTCATTTTACTGAAACTGTGAAACAATTGTTAAAATACAGGACTGGCACTTCAAGTTCAATTAATACCTGCCCTCCAGTGGTTTTAGGGATGACAGAGATAGAAGCAATGTCCACGTAAGTCTGGGTAGTGAGGAACACATCAACACAGACCTAGTACATGTAGAGGAAAATGTACATGATTAGGTACATTGTGGCAACAGGGTATATCGCTACCAGCTCATGATTATGATGATGTAAAAAAGGGAAAAAGGATAACAAGAAGGCCACCTGATATTCAGCAAATTCAATTGCCATTTCCTTCAAAGTTTTGTCTGCTGGTTGGAGTAATTTATGGGCCTCCTGCAATCCAGTACACAAGAAAATATTGTTACCAAAACCTATGTTCTTCAGTTGAATTGACTGTTTAGGGAAACGAAAGAGGTTGACAGGATGTCAGAAAGATGAATACTATTCATTTGTATGGGAAGACACAGTCGAAGAATTTCATGAATTTCATTATACCCCTTTCTAAGATCGTTACAAGACATATCATAACCCAGTACTCCACTTCCAATAAAATGGTAGATCTCAATTTACACAAACTTATTTCTTTATTTCTTTTGGGAGGCACAGCCAGTCAGAATGAAGGCAAAAATTAATCTACAGTATCTACTGAACACATATGAGGAGAAATGTCAGTACATTAGTTCCAAGGCAAAACTACCAGGTTATTGAAGCTTCCAAAGTTAAAAAATAATCAGATCTACTTGAGTCCCATAAATCAATTTCTCATGAAATAACCATCCTAACACGTTGATACTTTTCGAATCTTTCATAGAAATAAAAGAAGAAAAGTCACATTAAGGAAAGGCTATAAGTTTGTGTGTTGTGTCAGTTATTATGCAGTCCCCTTCAAATAAGCATGGATGAGATAACATTCGGTACTACTCGTCATAAATTAATTCCACTCGGAAAGAGAGCCACGACACATGGCAGAAGAACATATAAATAAGAAAAGTATACCTTCTCCCCTGCAGAGATGTTACTTCTTCCCTCAGCCTCTCGAGCAGAAAGGGCTCCAATGCCAACAGAAGGCAAGACTGAAAGCATAGTAGAATCATCAAAATACTCCATCAGAATAATTTCATTGTAGGTTTTATATCAGTAGGAAGATAGAGGAAAGCTCCTAGGAGGCAATAGGATCAAGAGAAATATAGAATTGTCTTAAACATGGTAAAAGCAAGAAAAGTATCCAACAAAATGTACATCTAATCTGCATTTGACAAAAAAACAGAGAATAAAATAGTTGATTAATTTGATAAAACTATGACTAATGCCATAAGCCAGGCAGCCTCGGATAAAGTCCAAATAAAACTTGATGAAATATTCCAGAACTCTCAGATAAGAGAGAAAGTTAAACCTTTTTCTCTTCTTCATTTCACAAGTCACTTCTTCCATTTGAATTTTTTTGACATAATCCCTAGTTTTTTTATTTACAGTATGTACAAGTAACTACAATGATGTAGATAATAACCACACACATGATCACATATTAAGCAGTATCAGCACTTAGTATAAAATATCATTCTCTCTATTGTGCATCTAACTGGACTTGGAATGTAGATCAGAAATCAAAGCCTCAGAAGAACATACAGCAACAAAAAATAGAGCTGTTTTCTGTTCTCAAATATTATATGCCTGACACAGTAACCAAGAAAAATACAAGGAGCAGAATGTTATCGATTGCATACCCTAGCATGAAAAATAACAATCATGTACTTTTAGACAGGTCAACAAGAGGGGAGGGGGGGGGGAAGGAAAAGAAAGAAAAGAAAGGGCAGGGAGATAAAGACAAGTTCATTAGCTTGCCTGATTGAAATACCAAAAGCTTCCCTCCAGTATTTTTCATTGCCAAGAAAGCTGCCTAAAATAGGAAAAAAAGCATTATAAAATACCAAATACATGTTCTTAATATCTGAAGCTATGGGCATGAGTTCATGAAGCAAATAATATTTGATTCCAGGTGATATCTATAACCCACCAGCAGCAACTGACACGGAGGAACATGTATCACTCTACCAAGGTTTTTCCACATAAAGACAATTCTAGAAAATAGCAACGATGTGCATCAGATAGTTTGAACCAGTTAGGTTCTGGCTCCGAAATGCAAAAAGAGATGGAAAATAGTGTTCAAATGTGGTGACTCAAGAAAAAAAAAAAAAACCTTTTATGGACAGTTTATGCATATTCCATTTTATTTATCAGAACATGTATGTTTTGTTACATGTTATAAGTCCAAATGTGCTATGTTGGCATGCAGCCCAAAGTAGCCCAATTCAAATATTCTCTGTTAAAACTAATTTTCAGTATGGAACCATACAAACGAATTCTAAAGGATTGAGTATCATGTTCAGATGAAAATTAAGCTTTGACTTCCTTTATGAAAAGACATATCTACATTGTTTCCATTTTTTTAAGAGGAGTTGCATGTATCATCCACAATCTATACACTAGCCAAAAAGACTATACCTTGATTGCTGCACTGAAGGCTGATTCAGCAATTCTAGTGCTCTGAAACATAGATGGAATACTTTCCAACAATAGCTCTAAATGTTGACGGCACTGAATTCACAAAAGAAAACCAAGAGAAATTTCAAAAATTATAAAAAAGGTTAGTATCTCTGAACATAAAACCTGTAACTCCATGATAAGAGTTCATAAATTGGCTAGTCTGGACCAAAAAAGATCAGCAAAACCATGTGGAAGGAGTCCAACCTCAGAAACCGGAACAATAACATCAGTTTGCAGAGGAGTATAAACATCATGTATATCAGGTACAATAAGCATCAGTGGCTGCAAACATGAGTCAGATATCAAAATCAGCACTCAAAACTTTTGATATGACCATTAACTAAAATTCTAAAAAATAATAGAAATTTAATCAGAAACATGAATCTAAGTACAATAAAGTGATGTGCTGGAGGTTGGTCATAGACGTCACAAAACAGCATTGATCTGATTGTTCAATCTACTTAAAGTTCTTTACCAATCTGCTTCACTTCATAGATACTGTACATCCTCCAACAAAAAAAATGTCATATTTACCTGTTGTAATGCCCGTTTCAAATTGTAAAAATGGATTGTTGAATCAAATGTTGCAATGCCCACCATTGTCCGTGGCCCTTCCTGCAAAGGATTTTTTGGTTCATACATCAGTAACTAAAACTGCCTTCTTGTTTGCAAATCTATGCATAACATGAAATATGAGGTCAGAGTAAATTATAAATAGTAAAAATTTTACTCTCAACAGCAAAATTAACTGCAAATAACGTGGATGATTAAATGAATGCAGGTGAAGCTCAACATAATATTAATGCCAGGCGATGAAAATACCAGCACTAGATGATGTGAACACAGTCAAATCCATACAATTACATCCTACAATGTTTTGGAAGTGGACATAAAACTCACTGGAAGATCAGCAATAACTTGACTAATTGAACTGCAAGCTGCAGCAGTTGCACCAGTTTGTATGGCATGCATGGATACATCAACAAGGAAGAAATAAACAGCTGGCATGGGATCACGAACCTAGAATACAGTGAACAGAGAAGAAAAAAATATCCAGTAGTCAAGAGAAAACAGTAGCAACAGAATTGAGGAATCGACAATATAGAGTAGATACTCACATAGGCATCCAATTAAAAGAAAATAGAGAGCACATGATATTTTATAAAACCACAAATTCTTAAAAGAAAACAAACCATGTATTCTCTTGTGGCAGCAAATTCAACTGTTCCCCTACATAGCTCGGGCCTTTCATCAGCATCTCTACGCCTACCATCTGGACCTAGATTGCAGTGGTAGTCGCGGGGTGTTTCATCAGTAAACCCTGCCAAAAAAAAATGAGTGAAATTGTAAAGTCCCCACCATTCCAGCATGTTCGGGGATCATAGTAAAGCCAAATCAACAAGCCATTGAAGCCAATAAAGTTCTGTAGCTGTTAACAGATTTATAAAACGTTAACACAACTAGTTATAAGCTGTACATCTCAAAACAAGGATCCAAAATAAAACTGGTATGTTTGAAAATGGATAATAAACAATATCTAATCTTGAATGAAGTATGCAACACAGCTCGAGAAGTTCTGATGGTGACAAACTTAAAATGACACATATAGTACATGACTTTTTCTTCAGTAACTGACTGATCCAGAGAGGCACTGGGAACGATAAGACTCTTTCAAATTCCATAAATCACTAGCAAAACCAAACATTTGGCAACAATCAAACAGCCTAACAATTAAAACTGCAAAAAAAATTCCAAACAAACCAAAAATATTAACAGTATATGTACTGACCGCACAAATTACAGATGAAACGCCTCCCTTGATCAATGAATTTCATAAAAGGATTTATGTAGCCTTTGCAGCGAGAGCAGCGAACAGGACCGCTGTCTCCGAAATCAACGACCTACAAACACAAGTTCTTGTGATATAAAAACTAGTGTGATTTCAATTGCACAATTCATCAACATGCATGCAGTGGCCCATGGTCTTTTTTCCTGGGTAATAGGCATTTACAAAAAAACTAATAAATGATGATAGTATGGGTTGGTGATTCTCCAATCATGCATCAGATACAAGATTTAATTGCTTTTGTTGGAGAACCAACTTCAATGAGATAGAAAGAACATTGGAAATAGGAATAAGAAACAAGGCTTGGAGTAAAAAACCATATTTCACCTAGTAATGAGCAAAGAAACTTTCTTTCCTTTCAAGAAAGAAGAAAATATCACACAGTAGAGATGGAATAAAGAAGAAACAAAATCATTATTACCTGGACAGGATCCTCTGATGGATGAGGAAGGGCCAGAGGTTGGACCAACAAAGCCAACTGCATGCCAGATGTTGATAACAGATCAACCGTGCATGGAATCTGAAATATTGAAGGAGTCAACCATAACATCAGAGATTGTAAGTGCTCACGAAGAAAACCTTCAAGTCTGTAATGATATCAGGAAAAAAAAAAAAAAATTCACAGCCAGCACATGCATGTTAAGAATTTACTATAACCTGATTGATGGTACACCTCATGTAGCGTGGACTGCAATTCCCAGTGTCTGTAGCAATGTACTCACTTGTAGCAGGCTTTACAAAAGGACAAATAATCAGAAGAGAAAATTATAAACCCACTGGTTAAATTAATTTGGCAAAATTCCACAAAGAGAAACAATGACAGAAATAGACAAATCAAAAGAAGCAAATACCGGAGGTGGGTTAGCCTGATTCCCTGCACGAGTATCATGTAGGATCACAGAGGAACCTGGAATGGGCCGGGGAATTTGATTAGGATCAATCTTTGATGTCCCTGATAGAGGACTTCCGGTTTGACCAATAACGGGAGATATAGCAGTCATTTGATTTGGCAGTGGTGGTGGCATTCCGAACATTCTAGGTGGTTGTGCAGAACCTGGAATTGATGGAGGTTGAGCCACCTAGAAGAATCCATAAAATTCAGAATTCAGATGTGATCTCAGGCAAGAAGCAGCACCCATTATAAGCAAGAGATGGATCCCCACTATCTAAATAAACACACATTAGCAGAAATAAGGTTGAGATTTGTAAAGCCAGATAGCCCCCTCTTCCATGAAAAGCAGCTCTTAACATAACCAGAAAGTTTCATATTCTACCTAAAGTAGCTAGGAAACAATTCATGGAATGGAAGTACAAGGAAAATTTATGGATGGCCTTATGGAAGAATAATCCTAGGACAATTATTATATTGTTGATCCATGGATCAACAAGCATGCATGCGAAAACACACCAAGTTTGTTTGGTTTAGATATACAATGCCAGGATTGTTCACATTAAAACCTTGGCGCAAACCAAACACATAATAAGTCAACTGCATGGTATTTCAGTTAATTAGGAGGTGAAACTGATCAAGAGACTAAGCTTTGCTTCTCTTTACAGATAAAGGATTTCAGAAGCTGGTGGCTGCTGCCTTATTCCTTCTTTCTCTCACATTTTCTTTACTTTTGTTTTCCATCTTTCTTTCTGAATGATGAAAGCACTATTACGGGTGGAAAAGAATGTACAAGATTTTTTAGGTGAAGACATCCTCCAAACTTAAAAGAAATTAAAACAATCTCAAGCTTAAAGAGCATTCCAATCTCTCTGAATATCTTTAAGAGAAACATTCATAAAACTCCCGAAGGCATCGTGCCATTTGAATGCAAGAACAGTAATATATCCCACAACAACTGGCTTGAAGTGAAAAGATGCTTGAAATTCTTGCATTTCTTTCCATACAAATGAACAGATGAATTCCATAAAGCAGCCTTCCCCCTTCTTCTCTCCTCTCTCAAAGCCTCCCCTTATTTTCTTCTCTTTTTTTCCTGGTTCTTCTCCCTCTATTCTTTCCTTCTATCTTCTTCCAATCCCCTATTTCTACGTCCTTATACTTGTAAAGTTGGAAGACATTGGAGCTCTTTTTCTATAGTTAGGCACACCAAAGCTGCTGCAAATATACTCAGTTCAACTGTCAGCTGTGGTTCTACCTGATTTCCAGCTTCAACTTTCATTGTCCACAGTCAAAAATCAGTTATATCACTCTCTAACTCTTAGGTTACAAATTAGCAATAGTCTCTAGGTTCAATTTTTCAAAGGAACTGTTAAAGCACAAAGCATATGCTGTGAAAAAGATGTCACTACAATTTCCTCTGCCAAGAATCCGGCTACCCAATACATCAACAACATCATTCATCACATTTATTCTCCACTGTTACAGTTCTAAAGTTAAAAAGAAGATATCAGAGCCAGCAAACCTTCCAATTAAGAACATCATAAGTTTCTATATCAGTTTCTTATCACTTGATTAAGTAGTGTGTACCACCAGAACAAGCCTTTACTCTCAATATATCATATTTCAAAACAATCAAAGTATTTGATGAAATACTCTAAAGTAGCAGATGTATATCAATGCGCGTTTTTGGTGCCCTTTCCTCTTCATATTACAGAACAAATCGCACTATTCCTCCTATGTATTCCAGTTCATGCTTCATTTTTATAACCTTTTCCAATCATTGCTCTAAAGCAAAATGGATCCTTGTGGTTGAATCTATATCCAATGCATCCCGAATAGTATACAAACTGTTTGCAGTATAGCAATTTTGAAGCTATCAAATATTGCCAGAAGAACTAGCTCACTTGAATTTCAAACAATTGTGAAACGCTAAAGAAGTTAAAATAGAGTTAACATAGAACACAATATAACAATTGAAATTTTCCAAACACTGCAGGTCGTAAGATTTTAAAACACTTACAGGCTGTTGCATATGTGGTGCAAAAGGAGAACCTATAGGTGGTGGCGTCATCCCTTGCTGAGCTGAAAATGGTGTCCCTTGAGATGGCGCTGAAAACGGTGTCCCTTGAGGTGGCGCTGAAAATGGAGCAACCGGCTGGCCCATAATCCCTGAACTCCCCATTAAGGGGCGCATGCTTTGAGGGGGGCACGAACCACCCCCATTGTTGGGGGAGGACCCATAGGAGGCTGCTGCGGTGCACTAACAGGGGGAGGAAAACGTGGAGCACTCTGGAAAGCTGGTGCTGGTGGCCCATTATTCACTAAACCACCAAATGAACTCGAATGGGGAGCACTCAAAGGCAGTGAAGATGGTGGCGCAGGACTTGCGCGAGCACCTAGTGCCAGTGATCCATGAGGTGGTGCACTGGAGACAGGGCCTGTTACCAGACCACTACTAGCAGAAGACGGGAATGACCCAGGAGGTGGTCTGGACCCAAAAGGCTGTGGCTGACTGAAAGGTGGCCCTATAGGTCTACCAGGGGCAACATTTGGGGGGAAAGTGGATGGAGGAGATCCCGAGGGAGGCATTGAAGGTCTAGGGACAACACCAGGAGGTGGTGCACCAGGCCGGGAAAATTGTGGTGAAGGAGCTGAGGAGGGAAATGGTGGTGGTTGGCCAAATGGCGAAGGCCTGGGAGCTGAATTCGGCATGGAAGAGGGCCGGTTGAGATTCAAATTCTGGAAATTATCTGATAACATATTTGGGTTTTGCTGATAATTTGGGTTGTAATTAGGTGGTGGTGGTTGTCTAGGTGCCCCTGGAGGCACATTAGATGCCATATTTTATCAAACCAATCCAACCCCAAAAGCTAAAAATTCCTTTTTTATCTTCAACAAGTATCAATCTTCAATAAACAGGATCAAATCCAAATCTACACATTCAAAAAAAAAAACAAATCTAAATTCATGCAATTCATCACTATAATATATAAACCCATAAAATATATAAATATACTGAATTGAAACATAAATGAATGTAATTTTCTAAAACGTGAATAAAGATAGAAACTTCTTCCGAAGAAAGAAGAGAGTTAAGTACCAGTGATCAGAGAGAACCGGATCCAGCAATTCAGTGAAAATGATCAAAAGGGTTGTTGGATCTAAGAGAATTGTGATTAGGGTTTTGGAGAGAGATTGAATACAAGTGATTAATTCAGGGGTTTTGGTATCGAGAGAGTGAAGATCCAAGATGGGCACAAGAAATAAGAAAGACAGAGATTGATGACAAAAGACAGGTTTTTTAGAGAGAGAGAGAGAGAGAAAACGAGTCTCTGTGTTTTTTTCGCTTTTTCTAAATCTAATAAATGAATTTGGTTGTTCTCAAAAACGAAAGAAAAATTTCGATTTAGTTCTTGAACAATATAACTATTTCAAATGAGTCTCAAAACAAAATCGTTTTAGCAATTGCATGCCAAACTTCGAGATCGCATTTGGGTCCTTCTGCCGACATCCGTTAATATTTTTCTGTCTGATGCACGCATGTATTGTGAAATAAAAGAACGCCGTTCGAGGGAACTACGGAAAACTAAAAAGAATTGGAAAGAAGAATCCAATTGAGAAACATCTGAAAATTTTGTACTTGATTGATACAAGTATTTGCTTTATGACTTGATTAAGAATAAGAAGATATTTTAGGGGGTAATGAAGGCTCCCAAAAAATAAATAGAATTTGTTATTGAATTTGGAAAGTTAGAAAAAAACGTTACACGTCACATGCAAAACAATGAAAGACTTATGCCACGTCATTATGCGCGTGAGAAGTAATGTTTTGATCCATTTAGATTATGCCATTTCAGCATTATGATTCCTAGTCAGCATTTTTTAATAATTTAATTTATCATTATATAATATAATAGAATAAAAAATTGTCTCGTAGCATGATTTTTTTTAAAGAATCTTATATCTTTAATTAAACTAATTTTATATTTAAATATATATTAATTTTTTAATATATATATTTTTAGGAAGATTTTCATATTAAAATACTATAATCAATTACGTAATTTGCATAAAAGTTTTTTATTTGTCTGCCTTACAAGACATTTTGAAAATAAAAAATAATTGTGTATAAATTATATAATTAATTGCGATGTTTTGGTTTGAAAATTTCACTAGAACAATAAATTAAAATTTTAATATACATTTAAAAGTAAACTTGACTTAATAAAATACGTAAGAACAAATTAAAAAATTATCTTATTATATGAAAATAGATTGGGTAATTAAGTTTTTTTTTTATCTATTTTGATGTTTTTCTTTTCTTTTCAACAACAAGGATTTTAGTTTTTTATAAAAAAAATAATTATAGTTATTTTTTATCATTAAAATAATTCCTAGTTATTACTCCTGTCTGGTACAAAATTAACCATGACTTCATCTTACAAACTACGGTAAATAATATCCAAAACATTTTCTGTTTTAAAATCAATTAAAAATAAATTTTTTATACTGTTGTTGTGTTAACTACTAATAAGTGATAAAACATGATTCTCATAAAAGGTAAAAGATTGGTTTTTCATGAATTTTTTTTCTTAACTTCCTTTGCTTTTTTCCTTTTTGCTCTTTTATTTGCCTCTAGGTTCACTTACAAATTTATATTCATTAGGAATATAAAGGTTGGTATAGTTTTATGGATAATTGCTAACCTAACCAACTTCTAAAATTTAATATCTTTTTTTTCAACAATAGAAAAAAAAAAAAAAAAAAACACAAGCATTAAAGCAATCCATGTCCTATTAATTATCGGTTAAAAGAGACATATGATAAGTTTTAATACCTCTCAAATATTTATGGTTACAAAATATTATCTTATATTCTTAAGTTAATGTTTTAATCTATTTTTTTATTTTTAATTGAGTTAATTTTATATTTAAATATACATTAAGTTTTCAATATATATTATTTATCAAGGTTTTTACGTCAAATCGTCAAAATTATTCACATAATTTACACAAAATTAATTTTTAATTTTTAAATATCTTATAAATCGATTAAATAAAAAAGTTTTTATGTGTGTATCGTATGACTAATTTCAATAGTGGAGTCTAACAATCTTATCACAAAAATACATTAAACAGTTAATATATATTTAAAAATAAAATTAATTTAATTAAAAATATAAAAATAAATTGAAAAATTACCACAAATTGAATCACTCTCTCAAAAAATATTTCAACTCGAGATTTCTTGAGGGCAATCGTGTTTTAATCAACTGTCTAGCCATGACTACGAAGTTGTCAACTTAGCTGATCAGCACATTCAGGGATACAAACATCAACACGAAAGATTCGAAAACCATGTTGACATTGGGCTAGAAGAAACCTAAACCCAAATCTTAAACCCATGCCCCAGCCCATTACAAGAATCGATTTGCAATCTTCGACGCTTCCCCACCTTATCCACCACCCATTCAAAACACAGCATATGCTCTTCCATGGATCCACTCCTTTTCTCCTCCACCCAGAAACTCAACACCCATTGCATTTTTGTCCATATCCTTCAAAACACAAAACACTGACAGAAAAAAAGAAGCCATAAAACACAGAACTTTAGTAATGGCTTGTGCAGCCACAAGAGCGACTTTCTCTTTCCACCTTCTTCGCCAACTTTCCCCTCCAAAATCCAGAATCCATTTCTCTAAACTATCATTCCTCTCCATTCATAAACCCCAAAAGACTCATCTTTTCACTCTTCACTCCATTGATGTCTCCAAAGAAGACAAGACACCAACTTTGTCAGATTCAAGCCAAACCAATCCCCCAACAGAGCCTCCTCCTGAAAAAGAAGAAGAACAAAAGTTCGATAAGAGAAGGTTAGAAGAGAAGTTTGCAGTTTTAAACACTGGAATTTATGAGTGTAGATCTTGTGGCTACAAATATGATGAGGCAGTTGGTGACCCATCGTATCCAATACCACCAGGGTTTCAGTTTGACAAGCTGCCTGATGATTGGATGTGTCCTACTTGTGGGGCTGCAAAGAGTTTCTTTGAGAGTAAAAGTGTGGAGATTGCTGGGTTTGCACAGAACCAGCAGTATGGATTAGGTGGCAATGCACTTACTTCTGGTCAAAAGGCTATTTTGATATATGGGACCTTGTTCGTGTTCTTTGTTTTGTTCTTGTCGGGGTATTTTCTGCAATAGTAAATGGTGAGGGTTTTTCTTTTAGGTTTTATCATGTTATGCTGTATTACATGTATTTGAAGTTCATTTGGAACCAAATGTTTGCAAATAGAGTAATAATTCGAAACGGATTTGTGAGTTACACAAATATCAGAACTTAGAACGGACATCTAAGAGTTCTGAATCGAGTCTCTCCTGCCAAAAGATGATCTTTTGACTTTTGTCTCTCTTCATCTTCAGTTTCTATTTCTCGGTTAGTTCATTATTTCTCGTTTTGTACGACATTAAAAAAGCATCTCATCTAAAGATTTGAATATTGTTGTAAATACCTGACATGCTAGATGATCAGTACTTCTCTTATTCTTGGCTGTACCATCTTGGAGAGAAATATTGAAGCAAAATAGAATGCTTGACATGTAAACAAAAAATAAACCTAGATTCACTGAGAACATATATGCAATGCAAGGCTACAAGAAGAAGGGGAGAGATGAACCTCTAATTGAAAATGTTGGTTGAAAGAATGCAGAAACTTCAACAAGAATCATGTTCCGACCATAAACCTGGATAGAAATGGCATTTGTAGACAGCCATCTATCCCCCCTTAACCAGCCGGTCTGCAAATATAAATAGACCAAAGAGGGCTCTGGCAAGTTAATTGCAAGCCACAAAGCGACCCGGGTTAATTTCAGTCAAGGAGCACATCACCCTGCAAATTAAAAGCATTGAAAGATGAAGTCTTCAAGAGGAGATCCAGTTCAGACTTTAAAACAGTTTCCCCCTTACGCAATCGTTTAAGGTTTCATAAAGAACAATCCTTCAGATTCTATCAGACTCGGACAGAAATTCTGTAAAGCACAAAGTTCAAGTCACTAAAGACGATACTGCAAAGAATTACATCCAGAATAATTACATCATCCAAAATATTTAACATATAGACAATGTTTCTGATTCTTCCCGATATAAGACTACTTGATAGAAGACCCGATGGCCGATGCAGTAAATTCCAGTGACCCAACCCAATTGGCGATTGCAACCAAACATTTGTATGATACAATCTTCTATGACAACCTGGTAAACAAATAGGAAAATCTTGAGGAAGAAAGCAACTGCGACACGAATGAGGTAAGATGCAGTATGCTAACTCGCTCCAAATCAAGTGGATCTCAAAAAGGCCACTGTTTACTCCATTCAACAGTTTCGGTATCGCAATACAACTCTTAACATCCCAAGCTCTTGCAGCCACATACCATCCAGAAATAGCTTTTCTGTGTTGTTGCCCAAACCGAGTAAATTCACCAAGACCTTGCTCATTTAAATGAAGGTACATTGCCACTGCAATGTGGGTGAGGCAAAGAAACATGCAAGATTCACCAAATCTACAATGTTATTGCTGTTTTAAATTTGATATTTCCGGAGTTACAATATCTGATGTCTCCTGAGCTACTCTTGTCCTAACCTGATAAGCCTGCTTCTCATTTGGACCCCTCGAATTTGTTTCTTGTCTTAAGTACATCCCACTGTCTCCTGCAGCTGTTTTGATGATCCAATTGGTGGGTGGTGATGGAAGTGGACCTGTGTTCTGATCAAACTGATTGTGTGAGTTCGGAGCGTATCCTGGATTTGGCATTCGAGGTGACATCACTGCAGGTGCCCTGCTTCTGACACTTTCTTCTACAGTCAGAGCAGGCACCCCACCACTCAAGTCATGGTACTGTACTCTGTCTTGAGTCCTAAAGTTGTGTCGGTTGCCTTGCACACCATTTGATGAGGAAGGATACCTAGAATTACTCATTAGGCCTTGCTGGTTACTGTACTGTGCAAAATAATTGTTTGGATCGTCCCCATAGCCCCTTCCATAACCAGCTGGTCTTGTTCTGTTGAAATTATAATTGCCTGGGACATTATGATACTGTGGTTGGTCAAACACTCTATAGGATGAACCATTTGGTTTGATATTAAGGGTGTTCTTGACAAGACGATGAGCTGCTTCCCCCAAGACAGGGCCACCTATTGCTCGAGGTACTTGTGGCCTGTAAGACAGAGACAGGACACACTCATTAGGCTATTGAAGAGAAACCGAAACAATAAATTCTAATATTAACTTATAAGTCTCTGAATAAAATTCCTACAATCTATTTATTTCAATAAATAAATAAAAAGAGGCTAACAATGCCCTTCCTTTCTCCACATATAAATGGAACTATATGCATCATCTGCCAAGAATAGCAGTTCATGAACAAATGTCACCCATAATCAACCTGACCACAGAAACATTAAAACACCCATGCAAATGAACCACTACAAAGATGCGGAAATGATTCATACCTTTCCCTGCCTTGTTGCCTCCGGCCATTATCTTCATGCCATAATGTTGGGGACGGTTTAAGATCTATAGGTTTTACGATCTGCAAATAGCAAGAACATACCTCAAATTAGCCATGGACATTTGTAAAGTCAAAACACCAAAAAAAAAAATATGAGGAAACAACATATGGCTAGACTCAATTCAGAAAAGGTCTTCAGGGAAACAACATATAAGCATCCTTCATGGCAAAACTCAATTCAGAAACTTGCATGTCAATTTCCATGAACACGGGACTGCCTTCAGTTTACGCCCAACGATACCTTTTAAACACATGGCTAATGCTAAACAAAATAATTGTTTAAACACGGAACACTATGTCCATTTAATTTTCATAGAGGAATCCCAGTTTGCTGCTCTAATAAAGTCTGTATTTAGAAACCCGATAACACTATTTTACATTATTTTTTCATGAACAGAATCACCGCCACATCATCAGTTGACAGGAACTTCATGTCCTTGCTTTTCTAAGTAAAATGAAATAAACCAAATTTACAAGCATCCAGAGCTCACTACCTTTTCAGGCATGACTACACCCTCGGGAAGTTCTGGGATGTGTCTATGATTCCTCGGATTTAGATATGTAATATTTCTGCAAGGCAAAAATACACAGCATTACACCAGGGATCAATCAGCTTATGAAAATAGCACCTGCAAAAGTTGAACTTACAAAACTTGGTTACACTCTAGGGCTGGCAATCCACGGATAGGAGAGGGGACCACATTTCTCCACACATTTCTCTCAGATAACAAAAGATAACCATTCATTTCACCACTGGAGAAGGTTAGCAACAAATAAGATAATAAAGCCAGCACACATCAATAATGATTTGAAACCCTTCAAACTATGTTAACACTAAGGCCAACTAACCTAGCTCTTGTATCAATTTCCCAAGCAAATCTTTCATGTGCAGGTAAATGATAGTTATGTTGATAGTATGAAATTACTTGTTGAGCCAATGGATGAACGGGATGAACATATAGCAAATCAAGCATCACACTATTCCTGACCTGCTCTTCCTCCTGCAAATAGTGAATTAAAGATCAGCGTACTTGACGTCCTAACCATACGAAACACATATGCCAAAAACAGTAAGGTTCAGCTTCTGAAGGTTCGAACTCATTCTTTAAACTACCCTTGGTACTTACAAATTAATTTCAGGAGAAATTTAAGTACAGGAGGCTATATCAGACTCTAAAAAACTGGTCCATTTGGTCTGGAAATCACTCAAAATGGATTTATATACAAATTTTAGCAGAAAATAAGTAGATTGCGCAATCAAATATTTGACTGTTGAAAAAGTTACACAGCTAGAAAGATAAATAACTCCTAGGTTAACTAAAGGCATATGAGTTTAGGTTTATAGCCCCATCCTTCCTGACAGTAACATAGGAAATAAACTTTATGACACTTTGGCGGCAAAAGCATCTGTAACAAGCAAATATTTTTTCTCCGACATCAGTATTTGAATTGATATTTGTCTCCTATAATCTAAAACAGTGGAAATGCATTATAACTCAGAATTACACGACGTCTTTTGCCTATAAAATTACAAAAATATCACATCTTAAATCCTTCTCTTTGCACAAAATTGGTCTCTCAGAAAGTGTCATATCTCCATTAAATTTGTTTTCCAAATCTTGGAAAATCACAACAGAGGAAAAATCTCCAATGGAATAACTCAACATCCAAAATAACATGTAGCAGTTTATACATTTACAACATGTGCAGAGTGAATGCCTCTAATAAAATGGTCAGTGCATAGAAGAGAAATGAAAATATAGTTTATCATGGATGAAATTATTGGATACTACTTTAAAAAGCCTAAATACCGTCAAAGTGCTTTCAAGCTTCCTTGTTTGGGCAAGCAATTTCCTCTCATCGATGAATGGCAATTTGGCAATACCCTAGCTTGCAATAAATATAAGGTAATTGTAATCATTCAATAACAAAAAAATATATGGTATAGTTAAACAAATCTGAATTGATAACCAATACAGAATAATTTACCTGCCAAGCAAAGCGCTTGCCATTCATGTCAATTTCAAAATCTGCCCACAATAAAGAAACCCAATTAATCTTACAAAGAAGGTAAAAATTTCCTCGAGGTAAATTGATCACTATCCTTCAATCAATTCTTTTACCTGAGGGAAAGAATTTATTAATTGGAGAAGATGGATCGGTCATCAATTTCCTGTATTCTGCTGGCAAAGCATTAGCACTGTAATACGCACAAAGGACGACAGTCAGCACAGAATGAATAATCAAACAGAATATCCAAAGTAAAATTTAAAACTCAGGAGTTTTTTAGTGGGGGAAAAACCTTGCAGCTGGCAGGGTCCCCATAAGTTGATCAAACGGTTTGAATGGCTCTCCAATGAAAAAGGTTATTTCCATCTCATCCAGATCCTTAAGATCCGAAGCAAATGGAGCATAATGGTACGGATAAAACCTGAAACAGACAACAGAGAGTTCAAACTTCAACTGATTGCAGTAAAGAACAGTAACATATTAGCATGTAGGGTGATTGGAAGCCTTATTTTTAATTTGATGAGCAGAGAGATGGCAAAGCTGAATTTAGGTGTAACAAGCCATAGAAATGTGATCATTTGGTAGGTCATATGCATAAGAGCTCTGGGCAAAACCACATTCAAAAAAGATAGAACTACAATTCTCAACTTTATACGAGTTCATTGTCCTCTTTTCCATTATTTTATTTCCAGCACACCACTCATGTATAGAGCTTCAAGAAATTACGCATTCGTGTATAGGTTTGTATGTTTAGGCACATGCTTGTGCTTGAAACTCCAATAAAAATCTTTATGTTAAGCAGACGAAAAAATAGCCGGTGAAAAGAAGCATAATGACTTTCTAGTTTCAGCCGTTATTGAACTCACCATTGCCAAGAGCAAACACCTTGGTAGTAATAACGACAGACCCAACACAAACCTTCCACATACTTCAAAACCTGCATAAACAACGTCAAATGTTATTTTCAATTTTCTTCAGATACATTATCAATCTTACAGAAAACTAGAGATAGAGAAACGGGTCAGACAAAAAGGAACCATTTGCAACATAACAAAAAAATTTATACTCAGAATCCATATTCGGCATACTTCTCACATCCCAACTTTTCTGTCACTCCAGATTTCTATTTGTTGTGATGAGTAACAACTTAATTTTTTCTCTCTCCGTTTATTCTTATTTTTTAGTTAAGATAGTGCTAATAGTGTTCTCATGCAAGGAAAAACATGCAAAACTCCTTCATTTTCCAATAGCAAACTTATTTTCTTCGTGCAAAAATAGTGAAGTTCACCTTATTATATTACACCTTCAAACTAAAGTCAATATAACTTTTAAGAGATCTCAGAATGAAAGGGTGGATAAAAATAAGGCACTTGAGATCATATTGAACCACACACAATCTGAATGAAGGACGTTTAATCAATTGTTGAAATGAAAATGTGTGTAGACTTAGGAACTGGAAATGAGAAGCCAACAGCAAGCCAATAACACAACAGTAAGACTAGCAGCAGTCAAAGATCACCCAGATGAAACTAATAGCTATAATAACACTGCATGAAAACAAAATCTTGTGACCAAGAGAAAATGCAGATAATAATCTATACGAATAAGCTATGTAGGATTGCCTGATGAGGAGAAAGAAAACAACTTACCACATCTTTTCTAACTTTGTCAATCTCTTCTTGATTTGATAATTCAAATTTCTCAGCATAATATCTCTCTTTGTATCCAGGCTCCCCTAATTTAACCTGACAAGAAGAAAAAAGAACCAAATTTTAAACCAGGAAACCGGAAAGACAAAAGAATAGCCTTCAAATGGGCTGATCTTGTCCTCAGCGGGCCCACAATCTGCAAGGCCATGAGTAAGCAAACTTCCAAATATCAAAAAGAAAACAAGCCCACTAGAGTAAGTGGATATACAATACTAACACACTCACTACTGAACCAAAATATTCTTCATTGTTGAACTACAAAATAAAAGCTACCTCTGATGACAAGGAGCTTAAGACACAACCGTAAGTTACAGATTTACCAGTTGGAAAGCAATCATTATCATTTAAAACATATGAATGCTATTAAGAAAAGAAAAACCCCTAGGTCCAGACACAACATGGGAAGCATACAAAATCAACTTTATATTCCTTTCTCTATAAAAGTTATGACCAACTTCATGTCTCGGGAGATTAGAAACAGTCTTCAGCATCAACTCCTCCAAAGAGCTATTTTCTATATATGGAGAAGGAAGTCCAAGAAATGAGAGAGGTTGCTGTCAAAAACTAACTGATAAGGAATTGAAAATTGGTTCATTTTTGTTTAATATAGGTCCTAAACAATTTTTTTGCAGGCAAATTCAGAACACAACACATTTATTTAAATCCATATCATCAAATGAAAATATTATAAACACAAACCTTATCCACAACTGGCGCTTGTATCACTTCAGACGACTCTCTTCTTGCTTTCTGTTTCATCTCTTCATTATTCTCAAAAGCCTGAATATGGATTATCCCGAGAGAGAGAGAGAGAGAGAGAGAGAGAGAGAGAGAATATCAGAGACAGTATGCATATGACTCCAAAACTCAATATTGCCACAGAAGAAAAATAGAAAGAAGAATATATAAAGTCTGCTTTGCAATGAATAATGTATAAAAATTTGACGTAAATCTTAGAGAACCTAGCATTCCAAACAAAGAAAGGGCATCCCCTCAAATTCTTCAGCTCTAGCACACAAAGCAAGAATCTCATTACTAGACCAGTTATCCAAGTACATCTTAAATTTAGAATCCAACACTTCCTGCTAATACAGTAAATCAGGAGCAGCATATGAGGCTTTATTTAGGGCAACATATCCCACATACTGTATGGAGCAGATTTACAGTTAAGAGACAAACTAAATCATCACCAAGATTTTACATAAATAGTCACCTAAACATAAGATGTTTCCAGCCAACAAGATGGTCCAAGAAGAGTGAACGTGCTATTACCAATAATAAGGCTACATTTGTTTCATGTAAAATATGCTACTGTAAAATATTTTCCTCGTTTTCTCATGTTTGGTTCACTTAGTAAAACTTGGTCAATGAAAAATATTTACCATCAAAGGAAAAAATAGCTTGAAACAAGGAAAAACAAATTACAGTTCTCAAGAGATGAAAATATTTTACGAATCTATCTTTGTTGTTAAATCATGGGTCCCACCACTAATTAATTCTTATCGTTTCCTTTTAACACTTATTTTCCATATAAGCCAAACACCAAACAATTATTTTCAAGTATTCTTTATTAACATAGCCAATCAATGAAGCATGATATATTTTCAGGACAATAAATATTTTCCAAAAACAAGTTATTTTACATGAAACAAATGGAGCCTAACTAATAAAATTAAATGCAGATGCTTGCATTAGACCATAGGATGAGAATTGAAGACTATAAGTCCATGCATAGAAAAGAAAGCACCTGTTGTATACGAGTCCTCTTCTGAAAGATTTGTTCCTCATAAACAGCAATAGACTGGATATAGTGTTCTACTTTATCCAGGAAAACCTGAATACATAAGCTAATTGCAATCAGAACATTCATTAGAACTCATGCTTGCAAATAATGGTGCAAAATCATTCCCTGAAAGCAACCAACAATGCAACATAAAACAAAGGAAATGCAAGCCATAGTAATTTAGAAGGAAAAAAAGGCACTGAAGAACAAGTTTTTAGCAAGTCCAACAAAGAGATGGAGCTATCCCACCATGTGAAGTATATCTGGACTGGTGAAACTAGACATAGCAAGCGCTATTAGGCTTAGGAAGCTACATCTAAGCTTCCTAAGCCTGTCCCATTCATTTTTCAGGACCCATGCTCAGTCAAGACTTGTTTCATGATATTGGTGACAAAGAGCAATAACTAATAAAATGAGTATTCTAACCAAGTAAGACTGTCAGAACCAAAAACAAACTTCTTTGAGACAAAGAGTTATGTGGACGACAAAAGAATAAGATTTATTTGTTTTACTTAAATTGTAGAATGCAGGGGTATTTTCATAATTTTCAGGTTTGCTGGAAAATCTGAAAATTGACTAGGTCTCGGCTTTATTTCTGTGTAGTATTTTATTTTAATAGTCTTAAAGTTATTAGGTTTTCCTGTTCTAAATAGGAATAGTTATTTGGAGGTTTAGGAATCCATGTCCTCATAGGATTTGGACAACTAAAACTCCATAAATAAATATGCAGCCTTTCAATATTTCAATAAAACTTTACGAATAAAATTCGGCTAAAATGATCTAACCACCCTTGAACTTTAAGTCATTTGAGGTTGAATCCTTAAGCATTTTTATTAGTTTTGAGGACCCTGAACTTTAAATTTTTTGAGATTTAGTCCATCCAATAATTTTCGGTTATCATCTCTCTCTCTAAAAAATTTATTTCTTGGTATTTTGAGCTAAAATTTCGCACACATATTGGAAACAATTCAATCTATTTTATAGAAAAATTCCAGAATTTTTCAAGATCAAAAAAGATATTTATTTATTTATTAAACATAAAAGATATAGAAAATAATCCTGAAATGATCCCAAATTTTTTTAGGAGCCCCACATAAATCTCACTAAAAGATTTCCATCATGAAACTATTTATGTGATTGTTATTTTTTTAGATAAATAACAGAAAAATGAAAGATGTGCTAAATATGAGAAAATTATTAGTGTGACTTAAAGTTCAGAGATCCCCAAAACCAATAAAACGTTCAGAAACTCAACTTTAAATGACTTAAAGTTCAAGGGCGGTTATACCCTTTTCGCCATAAAATTCCAGCAAATTGCTTTTGATTGTGTAACTCAATCTCCCTTAGGTGTGACTCTAAGAACCCTAGGTTTGAAGCTTGGGTTTTTTTATCCCCCAGGTGTTACTCGTAGAAACTCAACTTTAAATGACTTAAAGTTCAAGGGTGGTTATACACTTTTAGCCATAAAATTCCAGCAAATTGCTTTTGATTGTGTGACTCAATCTCCCTTAGGTGTGACTCTAACAACCCTAGGTTTGAAGTTGGGTTTTTTAATCCTCCAGGCGTTACTCGTAGAAACCTTATTAGTGTGACTCTAAGAGTTCTACAATTCCCAGCAGAAATCCAACAATACAGACCTAACCGGCCTCTAAACTCAGATCCAGAACAGCCGCCTAAGTTGCCATGCATCAAAGAGAGAGAGAGATGTAGAATAAATAGTGGTCAAGACAGGCCATAACATGTCTATATCTTGGCTAGAACCCACTGAATATTGTAGCACATGTTTAGCAAGCACGTCATTCTAGAAATTCAAGTATATAAAATGAGCTAAATCTAAATCCAATTTCCAAACAAAGAAGTAAAATAAATATAAATACAAAGGCAAGAACGGAATTGGGTAACCACGATCTAATTCTGACTGCATACAAATTAAATTCATCAATATTTTATGAGCTTCTAATATTTAGAATGATGTCTTCCAGCAAACATAAAGCCAAAAATTTCACGTTACAGATGATGTCCTTGTGACTCAAGTAGTCCATCAATTCAGATGGCTATAGCATGAAATGGAAGTGCTAAATGCATTCAAAATTAAGTCCAGAGTTAGAAAACTTTGATGAATTGAGTCCTTTCAGAAACACTCCACTCACAAAAACCCTTACATCGTCATCACTCATAAGCAGAAAAAAATTTCTCACAGCACACACTAATGAAAATTGTCTATAACTTCATTATTTACATATTAATTTTTATTAGTGGATTTTGTTGAGTAAATACACTTGATTAAAAAAAAAATAACCAGAAGAAGAAACCTAAACTGGAAGGAAAAAAATCCTTGTCTTTGAAGATTAGTGCAAAAAAGCTAAGGAGAAAAAAAATGAATAGACCATCATTAACAATGTTCATCAAGACTTTCGAGTGTTGCATACAGTTCTCACCAGATCATAATGTGATAGGTGAACAAAGATGGATGCACAATATAAAATAAGACCAAGGCAGTATTCCAATTCATTTACATACTTTGATATAAGAAGAAACATAAACCAATTCCAGAGTATAATGAACGGTAAAAGTATTGTAGAGAGCATAAAAAAGAAAAATTACCTCACCGGCAAGAGTAAGATAACCACCCATTGCAGAGAACTCCCTTCTATAAATATGCATCAATAAGTTTATAGCACCCTGAATCAGGACAGGACATAATGATGAAAATTGATAAAATTGAAAAGCCAATATATATAGTGTAGATAGAGCCAGGAAGAACAGCAAAGTGAAAACAAAAAGCAACAGCACTTCAAAACAAAATTATGGCCAACATAAGTAAAATATCAAGATCTTTCTTTTCTATTGACAAAAGAAGAAAAGATTTCATCGTAAAAAGTAGAAGATAGAGATTGAGAATAAAAGTGGGTGAATGCCACTTCAGGTTATAGCTAAAAAGCCTCTAAAAGAACTAGATGCAGAGCCACACAAACAAGCTAGAAAACAGAAATACCACCTCATCTCAAAATAATTGTTTGTTATGAATTGATCTTTCAAAAACTAAATGAATGGAATTCAGCATGTTGTTCAGTCTCAAAATCGTTCATGCAACTGTTGCTAACTACTTTCATACCTCCCTAATTTCCAATGTTGGCATATGCGGAAGAAAGTCATTGCCAACAAAAAAGCACATAAACACAAAGTCATCCACTACTCGTTCGAAGTTGATTGCAAATGGTGGGTTTGGAATGTCCAGATCATATTGCAAATATTCTCGCAACACCCAGATATTGAGAAACTGTGCAAAAAAGAAGACAGATTAAAAACAGTAAGACAAGAGATGAAAAAGAACTAAAACAGTTGATGTCTTTTCTTCAACCTGATATTTCTTCTTGTGAATTGGGCTATCATCCACCACATTCCAATCTAAAGCATCATCTCCTTGCTTAACACGACATTCAGCCGCAAGATGACCAGCTTGACCACAAAGAAAACATTTCTCCTGTTGCCCAGGAATTGTGACCATCTGTACAATCCAAGCATATAAAATTTATGATTGAGCAATAATCGATGCAACAATGATAACAACTTTAGGAGACATGAGCTGCAAACCTCTCTTAATATTGAAAAGTGAACCTCATGCGTGGCTAAAGACAGCATAATCAAATCTGCATCCTGATCTCAAACAAAATATTTTCATTAGGACTAATAGTTAGATGTCACTATAATAACAAAGCAATAAGATCAGAAATGACAAAATGACTAAAATCGGGAACACACTCACCAGACCATACAGACAATGGCGTGTGTTTGGATTGAAACTGGGAATGTCGCGTTGCAATCTTATAAAAGACATGATTTTGTGCTCTCCCTCGCCAGGAACATTTGCATCAGAAAGGATAACCTTCAAATAACCACCCAATGCAGCCCCATAAATAAGTTTAGAGAACACAAAGTATCCTGAAAAAGCCAGATTTATATTCAAAAAGATACAGAAGGGATTACTCCACAGACAAGGAATGATCCGATCTATAACAAACTAAGCGAAATGAGAACATCCATCACACCTTGGTATTCCGCCAGCCAGGATTGTGATTCAATCTACTTTGTATATAATACTGAAGCGCAATGGAAAGAACTCCCATAAATTGAGTGCCAGGAGTAATAACATTAGAATCACATGCTTCAGGCTTTTCTTTAACAGATAAAAGCTCCCCCTCAGCCTCAAATTCTTTCCTCAATCTTTCTTCTTCAGCTTCCTAAATACATCATAAATAAAATAACACTAAGTTCACCACTTCCACAAAAGAGGATCCAGTAAAAAAAACCATCAAAGTATCTCAATCTTACTGCTTGAGCAGCATCTTTTGCAGCTCTAAACCGTCGAGACCGTTGCTGATTCATTTTAGCTCTAGGAGCAACCCCATCTACAATTAACTCAAGCAAAAAAAAAACGTTAAATGAATATAAATTCAATAAATACAAAAACTGGAAAACAAAAACAAGAACCCTACCAATTGCCAGAAAAAGTAGCTTCCTTGGACGAACCAAAGCAAATAAATGATCAATGTAAGCAAATATCGACTTGAACACATCATCATAAGTAGCAGGTGCAGGCTGTAAAACAAATCAAAAGTAAGAAACCATTCGACTTATTCAATTACACAAAGGAAAAAAGAAAACTTCTTATAAACCCAAACCATCAAAATTGACAACAATTTAATTACACGCACAAAAACAAAGATCTCCTCTTTTAAATCTTACAATATAAAAGTCTAAAACTTGCTGAAAATTTATGTTTCCATTCAATACTAAGTTAATAACCATGAAAAATTGACAACATGTAAATCACACACAAAAACATCCCATCTTTTAAACCTTATCAAAACCCTATAACATGTGTAAAACTGTAAATGCACGTTCATTTTAAACACTCTCCATCGAAATTAACAACAATTACATTAAACACGAGCAAACAAAAAAACCTCTTTTAAACCCTCACTAAAACTTAACAATCTGTACAAGTATAGGTTTGTGACAAACACTAACCACAAAATTTTAACAACAAGTCAATAAAAGAAACAAAATTTCCTCTTTTTATACCCTAAAAAACAAAAAGATAACAAAATTATGCAAGTAAGAGTTAGTAAATTGTACCTTGCCTTCAGGATGGAAGCAGGGATGGATAATCCCGTTCATATCCATATACATATTATCGTACTCAATACCATTCGGGTTAGGTTTTGAAACATCGATTGGTTTAGAGTTTCCATTCGAATCCTCTTGAGGTTCCTCTTCAATTACATCCACAATTGATAGCGGATACCGGTCGGCGAGCCACCTGTAGAACGCCGGTACACCCATGGTAAAACTCTCTGGCTACGTCAGGCTCTGGTTCGATCGAGATCGGACAATTGAAGATAGTGGTTTTCCTTAGGGGTTTTGATTGAAAGGGAGGGATCTGTTTAGCGGTGTTAGGTACGGTGCGTGCGGTGACAAGAAATGGACGAGATTGCCCTCCGGCATTAGTGAAGGAAGGTTGGTTGAGGGTGTGCGGGCTTGTGCCTTCGGATTGTGTTGAGGATGTGTGATTTTGGGCGGGAATTAGGGGTTAATTTGGCAAGAAAGTATTAAGCATCTGACGTACTACTATCGTCGTGATTGTCAAACCGGGTTCGGCCAATAGATTGACCCGGGCCCAACTTTAGTTGGGTTTCTAGTCAGATGCTACATTGACCTGGTCAAACTTGAATGTTGAAAAAAAATTAGAATAGTATTGAACTTTGACTGGTGGAAAAAATAAAATCATATAAGCTAAATGATTGAACTGATGATTTCATCCCTTTTTAAAAAAATTCGTTTCTTTACTAGAAATACTTAAAAGACTAAATTACACGTAATATCATTTTTATAGAGATTGGACCTTAAACTTAAAGGAAAAGAATGTGAAAAGTTTATACAATGTGAACGAAATACTATTCTCTTTTACATGGTATTATGAATTATTTGGGAACAAGAATTATAAATTTATTTACGACAATTGGATTAGAATATATATAGAGAGGATACCCTCTTTTAAAAAATATTATATCAAAATTATCCTTTAAATGTTAAATAACATCTAATATATATAAACAAATATTTAGTTAAGTATGTTTAAACTTCATAATTTGGCTTGGTGCTCGTTTGATCCATCCATACTTGTGTGCATGTTCCATAAAAGAGAGTTTTTAGTTCTTCGATGGGGTCTCTTGTTGTTTGTCGCACATGGACATCCGGATGTCAAGTCTTTTTAGATAGAAAAACAAAATCATCATTTAGTATTAAGGGTATTAGAAAACATAAATGATTGATATGTTTAGAGATCAAAAGTAAAAGGTTGGTTGCATGAACAAAAGATAACCGTAACGCCCCCGCCCTAGTCATATTTCTACTACATAAGTAGAGTACTTAGACGAAACGCGTTACGCCGACATGCCCTAAACTCTAAGTAGTTCTCTTATGATATTTTTAAAACTTTAACGAGACATTACGTATATAACTCCTTAAGATAAAATTTACATCACATAATTAAATATATTAGTAAAACATTACGAGCAATATTCAATTTTTAACGAATTCCATACCTCAAATTTACGGATAAAATAAAAACCAATACATAGTGCCTCACATGAGCTAGTTAGGAGGAGCCACCGCATCCGTACCAACTTGTCTTTTTCCGTCACGACATAAAAAAAATAACAACGAGTGAGCCGAAGCTCGGTAAGTAGGGTGATGCACGTGATATGCAATATCGTTTTGACTCTCCACCATACTCATAAATATTAAACTCGGGTACCCGGGTATCGACCGATCTACTCTATTTATCATCCGGTGATCCGCAGATCACCTTCGTTACAACGGAATTATCCCTCGTTGTAACTACCGTTAGCGGGAATCCATCGTCTAACAAGGTGCAAGCACACGACTTGATTTCATCCAGATGATCCTCGGATCATCTTCTCGCTACAACGGAATTATCCCTCGTTGTAACTACTATTAGAGAAAATCCATCGTCTAACAAGTGCGAGCACACATCCTAGAGTACTCGGACTACTAATACCCATTTATTCCAGTTAGGTTATCAAACCTAGATGTATAAATCATTTCCCAATCAATTGACTTGTCTTAAACCACCCACTATGCACATGATGCATGTGATGACATACTTAATCACATTCAACCAAATTCGGGTACCAACCCTTCATTCTCATGCCATACTCATGGTCCAACCCACACTCGGAATTTATTCATTGCTCACATACCAATCATGATACCCACAACGAGAACACAATCTCCGCTCATTAATATTTTTCATTAGTTTCATTAATATTTAAAAGAAGGTCCAAGTCCATTTACTTTAATCCGAGCCCATTAACTTTATCCTAGGTCCATTGACTCTATTTAATTCCATTTTATTTAGTCCAAGCTCATTTAGTTTATTCCAAACCTATTAATTTTGTCAAAATCTAATTTTTTTGGTTTGAGGGTTTATTACCGAGCAACTCCTAATCGAGTAAATAATTTTTTAATTTCAGAACATAATTAAATCTTACTCATTTTATGTTAGATACTAGACATATTTATTTATAACATATCCAAAAATTAGGTCTAAATACCAAGTACACAATTAATTACAAATTTTTGAAACTTAGGGAATAATCTGCCTAATAGTAGTTTATCTAGAGCTATCCATACTAAATTGGGTGTAACTCTTTGTACACAAATCCAATGACCAAGAAAGTTTAAAGGAAGTTAATTGAAACATAGATGAACAACTTTTATGCTTTAAGTTTCACCTAGAAATCGATCTAAAATCCTTGAATATACACCCCAAAATTCGGACAGAATTTACTCCTTATCAACACTAATTTATTAGTTCATTCCAAGCCAATTTTAAACATGTTTTAGTTCACTTAAATTTAGTCCCAGTTCAATCCAACCCATCACTACATACTTGGACATTTTTCAAAAAATCATAACATCATAAATCATCACAACAAGGCATCCATACATAGATTTATCCCAAGCATCAAGCATATAACCATTGAAAATTATTACAACCCATGAAATAAACACTAACAAAATAACTTAAACAAAATAATTTAAGACATTAATCAGTCAAAAAATGAAACCTACTTACCTCTTTTAGGTTTGATTATAGTTTTCTTAGCTCTTTTTCTTTCCTTTCCTTTCTCTCCTCACGTTTTTCTTCCTCTCTTTTCTTTCTTGCCTTTTCTCTCTTAATTTCCGGTACCTACGGGTTACTAAAGCTTTTCTCCTATTTTAACACTTGCTATATATATATATATACTTACTTTCATTCAGCTACAAGTGTTAGAAATTAATGAGATAAGGTGTAAAGGTTATGGGTGAGTCACGAGGAAAGTCGGTCGCTTTGGAATCCATAATGGGTGAGTTGGCATTAAATTCATTTATTGCATTTACTTAGGTGTCTATATAAAATTTAGACTAATTAAAATCATTAATTAACTTAATTAAAGTAACTAAAACTACTTTCTTTCATACAAATTCAGAAATTTCCATTTTTAAAAATTCGGAATTTCTTTTCCCCCAAAATTCCAGCAGTTGTTTCCTCCTAACCCATCTATACTAAAATGTGCATAACTCTTTTTATACGAATCAAAACATTATGAAATTTTATAGAGAGATAGTAAACACATATAAAAAAAACTTTTATTCTTTAAGTTTGTCTCAAAAATCAATATAACAGCATAAAATAAATCTCACAAGATTCGGACAGATTCTTCTCCCAAAATTCCAGCAGAATGCATTTCGAAACAACCCTCGCTATAATTGGTATAAATCTTAATGTATAGGTCTAAATATTATAAAATTTTATACAAATCTATTCAACACATAGATGAACAACTTTCATTCTTTAAGGTTGACCCAAAAATGACCCTAAAGTCCTCAAATAATTCACACAAAACTCGGGTAGAATATAGTCCTTAAAACACCGATTTTGCATATTTGATTTCTTTAATAATTAAACCATTAATCTTAAGCACAATAACTTTAATTTAACATAAATCTCATATGTCAAGCATTAATCTCTTATGATGAAATGATAATTATACTTACTCTTAATATACATATATATAGAATTATTCTAATACACGTCGCGTTACGGATAAGGGTTTTTACGGGGTTACAATTCTTCCCTCCTTAAAAGAAATTTCGTCCTCGAAATTGATTCACTTGAATAACTCGGGGTATTTATCTTTCATTTCTTGCTCACTTTTTCAAGTCATTTCTTCGAGGTTATGGTTTTCCCACAAAACCTTAACTAGCCCTATCTCCTTATTTTTCAACCTGTTTGACCCGTCGATCGAGAATCCGGATCGGTCTCTCTTCGTATGTTAAATCCGGAGTAAGATTCGATGGCTCTATATTCAAAATTTGACTCGGCTCTCCAATTCACTTCCTTAGCATAGACACATGAAATATATTGTGTATTCCCGCTAAGGATGGTGGTAGCAATATGCGATACGCTTTATCTCCTACTCGCTTCAGTATCTCAAACGGTCCTATGTACCGCGGGTTTAACTTTTTATTTTTCCCAAATTGTAGTACGCCTTTCATTGGTAAAACTCTTAAAAATACATAATCACCAACCACGAACTCTAGATCCTTCCTCCGTTTGTCCGCATAACTTTTCCGTCTACTTTGGGTCGCTTTCATCCGTTGGCGGATCCGGTCTACTACTTCGACTGTCCGTTGTACCACTCCGGTTCTAGCAATCTTCTTTCTCCTATTTCATCCCAATGCACCGGAGATCTATATCGTCATCCATAGAAAGCATCATAGGGAGTCATCCCAATCGAAGCTTGGTAGCTATTGTTATACGTAAATTCAACTAAGCGAATGTATTTTTCTCACTTTTCGGACCAATCTAGGACGCACGCTCGTAGCATATCTTCAAGAATATGGATTACACGTTCGGATTGTCCGTCGGTTTGTGGATGATAAGCCGTGCTGAAATTGAGCTCGGTGCCCATGACTTTATGCGGACTCTTTCAAAATACGGAGGTGAATCTAGGATCTCGATCCGATACAATTGAGATCGAAATTCCCATGTAGTCTCACGATTTCATCCGGATACAATCGGGCATATTGGTTTAAATCATAGGTGGTTTTGATAGGAAGAAAGTGTGCTGATTTGGTCAACTCCGTCTACGACTACCCGGATGGCATTTGACCCCTATCCGATCTTGGCAATCCCATGACGAAGTCCATAGTTACATGCTCTCACTTCCATTCCGGAATTGCTAGTGGCTTTAACGTTCCCGAGGGTTTTTGGT